TTGTCATGTCTCCTGGTTATTTAATACATATAAGTTGTTGTAAGTGTTGTTTAATGAGTTTGTCCTGAGTGATCTCTTTTCAGAGAAAAGAACCGAAATAATAAAGCTTCAAGGTGTAAACACAGAGGGCCGATCTTCAACAGGAAGCAGCTCTGCTACGATTGGCTGATCAGCCCGTCATGGCAGCACCAGAACAGCTATGGTTAGCATGCAGCTCACCACCATCAGAATGCGAATGAATGAATGAATAAATGAATTAATGAATTAATAAATATATTAATGAATAAATGAACTGCTGGTAAATGATCTTATATCTTTTTTATTTTCAGGTTTGTTCCGTTAATGTTAGAATAAAACCTTAGAAACTACCAGAGCTTCTTTGGGCTCCAGCAGTGAAATCAATGGAAACGTGTCATTACTTGTGGGCAGCTTATGGCCGCCGTTTGGACCTGGATGTTCTGACACCAACTCGGCCCAGATTCTAACTTTCACACTGAATCTATAATCTTTGTTCTGTTAAACTCTTCTTCTCCAATGACTCAACAACTTTTTGCATCCAGGACAAACTAAGGACTCTGGCTGTTTGGAAGCATGAGGAGGAGGCGGGGCTTAAACATGTGACACAACAGCATGACTGTTTGCTGACGTCAAGCTGCAGGTGTCGCAGGCGTTAATCAGTTATATGAAATGATAAGGGTTCAGGGTAAGGGCTCATTTATAACCATAAATAGCAGATGAATATTTATTTTGTTCTTTTCTTTAAAAGACCAACGTCTGTCCAATTGGTAAAAATCTTTTAAGCTGTTTTTGTTTATTTTTTTCGTTACAAACAAACATAATTTGACATTAATTCATTAAAAATAATAATTATGCAATGTCAATGTAGATGGAATTTCTTTGAAGAATTAAAAAATCTCCCAAACTCTCTGATATTATATGTTATTAAAAACATGTTATAAAACAAAATAGCTTGTTCTAAAGAAGATTAATGACTCTCTGAAACGATATCTGCTTTTTGGGTGTTTTTGTAGCTTGTTCTGATTTACCTGAAGCAGCTTATCAGCAGCAGGTCAAGTGGAGCTGGGAGTGTCTTCTATCTCTAAATGAAGCCTAACTGCTGATAAACTTTAATCAGACTTAAACCCAGTCCTGTCGGCACGGTAACAGTCAATTAAGGCCGAGGGGGGAAAAAAAAACTCCAAAAGCAGTTAAGAAAAGTAGCCTTTTTTCACAGCACCTGTTTTCTGTGCTTTGTTCTCTGAAGAGATTCTCTGTTTTATTTCTGATTTAGAAACAGAAATGTGAAGCTGATCGTCACAGTAGTTCCTCAGGGCTGAGTTCTTGGGACCTTTTATATTTATTTATAATATTTTAACTTTGAATTCCAAACTAGCGGTGTTTGAGCCAACATCAGTTTCAGATCAAATGTAAAAATAAAAACACAAATTATGTACTTAATTAGGATTGAATTTTTTTTTTATTACAACCTAATTTTGACCCTTTTTGTTTTTAACCAAATGTCTCAAGTTCATGATGGCAGTCGCTGGTCTCTATGGTTAACCTGCACACACACACACACACACACACACACACACACACACACACACACACTAACACTGGTGATAGCCTGTATCAGTGTTAAGATAGGGCTGTTGCTGAAGGCAAAGTGGGCCCTGGAGGACAAAGGTCCCACTGTGGACATATGAACACACAGAGGAGCAGATAGCAGGATCCTGCGTCTGTTTGCCCAGTGTTCCTCTTTGCCCTTTGGACACCACACCTCAACTGATGTATCAGTTCGCAAACACGATTCTGTGTGTGTTTGGTTAATACTCAAGAAGAGCTTATTAAAAACAGAGTATTGATATGTATAGATGGAATAGTTTAGAAAGTGGTGCCGAGATGCATTCAGTCCCATTAAAATCTGGCTCAATGTTTCACTCCCACACCGGTGATTATTCAGGCTAAGCTAACGGAACCAGTCATCTCTCACAGTTTCAGCCAAATACCAACATTCATTTTGGGGGTACTGATGGTGCTGTTGAGTTTTTTATTTTATTGGACTTATTAATGTCCTTCATTTGCATCCATGTGAAACTGTGTTGATGTTTAAGATCTGCAGGTACGTGAAGTTGACCTGACCTTATGAGTAGATCAGAGCCTTGTAATGGAAAAAATGGAAATCTAGATAAGTCATTTTTTTCTTACAATTAGTGCATTCGTACTTAGATTAAGGAGGTAAAAGAAACATTTTGCCAATGGAACAAGACAATTTACATTTAAAATAAGAAAACACAATTGCATTGTCTTATTTCAATTGCATATTATCTAATTATCTTTTTTTAAGAGTAGAAATATTCTTTCCACTGTATAAGATAATAAGATAAACTGAATAAGCTAATTAGATAATAGACTATATCATTTACCTACTCAAATTAAGGATAAATACATTTATGAAATTTTTACATATTTCTAGATCGTTTTCCAGTGTCTTAATTTATCCCAAGCATTTCATGTGGAAGGGTCAAATAGAAGAAGCTAAAAGGGGGCTGAAACCGTCCAAAGCAGAGCAGATCAAAACACCAACAGACACTTTTTACCCTAAAGCTTTTTGGTTTTAATAAAAAAGACATTTGAAAAATACACATAATTATTCTCCAAAAATCACGAACATTTACAGACATTAAGGCAATGTGGACCCGAAAAAGAAAAATGCTTCTGTGAAATTAACCTTGGATAAAATATTTTTTTACATCTCCGCTCCCTAAGGCAGGGTCGTTCTTGGCAGCCATCTTGGGTGTAAATCTTTGTCTTCTAGAAACTATTTTAGTCACATTTTAATCATTTATATACGAAATGGTTTCAGTCCAGTTTTAGTCGACACAAAATTCACAAAGTTTTACTTTAGTTTTAGTCTGTTTGAACTTATTATTTTTGACAAAATTTTACCAAATCAATCTACCTTAACCATCAGAACAAGCAGAAAAACAATGTTTTAACCACATCACTGGTCCCATCCTCAACTGAAGTCCTCTAATCTTCTTTTTAATCAGGATTGTATAAACTTATGATGCATCACTGCTGTTGTTTAGGTTGTTTCCCTTCAAAGCTTATCGTAAGCTCTCCACAAACAGAGCAGATGATCAGTTAGGCTGTGTATCGTCATGTTGTGCCCTCATTGCTTTTAGCCTAAAGCTAACAGACTGCCAAACAACATTGCAACAGGCCAACAGGAAAAAAAACACATGAGTAGATGGCCGCAGCGCCATTGATTATAAATGTGGCTAAACAGGTTGCTAACATAACTGAGGACAGATGGCTGTTTACGCTGGGGAACATAAAATGGTCCAAAATGTCTCAGACTGTCGTCAAAACGTCGAAATCACAACGTATTACGCTTCCCGCCCTGCCAAAAATAAATCCCTGCATGTTCCAACACATAACAGTAACAGATATCAGCTAGTGAACTGAACTTAGCGTAACCCTGCTAGCTTTAGCCTGAAGTTAGCTTACTTTATATTAGCTTTGATATTCATCACAAGCTGACTGTGGATTAATATTGTGTTTATATCATGTGTTAACAATAACTGACCTTAGAGGGAATATCAGTGTAAACCTAGCATGATGGTGACCAACAAGGTTACGGTGGATTAACATTTTTGATACTTTTTAGCTTTTGACTGACAGATTAGATAAAAACCCAGTAGAAATGTCATCCTCGTCTTACAGAACATTTTCTTCCAGTTTTGTCTCTTGAACAATGACTCACACACTTCTGGACTTCAAGGACACATGTTAGATAGTCACTGTCCCCTCAAGGTCCTGAACAAAGAAATTTGGAATCTTAATATGAGGGATTTCTCTTGCAGACCAAAAATAAATAATGTTGTTAATGAAAATGTTGCCGTTTGGCAAAAGATTTATTTCCATCTTAATGAAGTAGCTCTCTGATCAGGCCCAGAGGTTCTACTCAGTCCACTTCCATTCCCAGTTTTTTTCTCAGTTATGGTTATAACTAGTGTTTCCCCGATGCCATTGTTTGGCCCCGATACGATACCCTATACCTGGCTGAGCAGTATCGGCCAATACTGATACCATACCGATATAATCTGTTTGAAATTGATGTGTGTGTGTGTGCGTATGAAGAATTGCATACTTGGATCTTAAATAATTGCCATCATGGCTTTGCTAAGCTGATGCCTACCTTTGTGAAGCAGGAAAAAGACTAATACAAATTGAATCCAGTAGAACTTTTTATGGCCTACCTGGAATGGGTGACAATAACTGAATAAACTTTTGGCTCTCAAAATGGTATTGGTGCCCTATTTGTTGGTACTTACCGATACCGATACCACCATTTTATAGCAGATTCAGGGCCCTGCCCAATACTGGTATTGCTGCAACACTAGTTATAACTTAATGGTTTCATACCTCAACATGCTGCTTCTGCTAGGAACTAACATGGTTGTTCGGTCAACACATCATTAACTAAATGTCCTAAATAGTTCTAATACGTTTGAGGAATTTGGACTTGTTTGGTTCAAGCGGTAAAACGTCCAACGTCCTGAATGTACGTTTACTGGTTTTGTTTCACTAGTAAGCTTATTGAGTTAACTCTAACCTGATAAACTTTATGGTGCAGTGACGTTTTGTCCTTTAACACACTGTTATGACTCACTTTTGACATTTCATCCGAATTGGACACTAAGTTTCTCAGCTGGACCCATTATAACATCAAAAGGCCCCCCCACCCATTACTCCCATTTAAATGCCTGCATTTGTTACTGGTCTAAATCTGTTTGTAACGCCCCCAGTGTTTTAATATTTTATGGTTTTCACGAAATTAACTGAATTTGGACCTTTTATGCCTTTTAAAAACCGAACACAACCATTGTATTGATCTAAAGACAAAATCTAACGTGGGTGATTGTCTTATATTCTCTGCAGATCTTAGTTAATTAGGACAAACACTCTAAACTGTAAAACCAGGAACGGCTACGTTTTTAGAGTTGATTTAAGTATTTCTGAGACGTCTTTAATAAAGTGAGAACGTTCCTGAGGAGCCAACATCTCGATAAATATATTTTAAAAATTCCATATAAAAACATGAGAAGTTAAAAACATATGCAAAAACTTATTTGAGTTATATATAATTATATTACACCAAATGTATAAATTAAGAAACAAGAAGATTAGAAAACACAAAATCTTCTTTTTTGCTTTAGTAAAACCATCCAAAAAAGTTACATTCTTAATCTTAAAACCATTAATATTTCACAAGGTTAGTTTTTTTTTTTTTTTATAGAGAAAAATAAGTTTTTAAAAGTTTCAAAGTCTAAATATTATAAAATGGTTTGTCCTTTCTAGGGTCTTCTTCTGAATTTTCTGATTCTGGTTCAAAGGTTTAGCATCTGCGGGTAGAAAGGCGAAGAGGTGTCCACAGGTCACTGGGTCCAGTGGCAGGTTTTGACAGTTCAGGTGATTAGTCCAGGTGATGGGTCCTAGTCACAGATCCACTGACGATTCCAGATGGGTCAAGTGACTTGTAGAGGTGAAGGGTCCTAGTCATGGATCCACTCACAGATCCAGGTGACAAGTCCACTGAGGAGTCCAGGTGACGGGTCCAGTGACAGGTCCTAGTCACTGATTAAACTGACAGGTCCAGATCAACAATCTGTGGTGACTGATTGAGGGTACATGTTCTGTGAAGGATCTGCCTGTATGACTGAACTAAGTGGACCACAGAGGAACTAAGCTCTGGGTTTAACCTGAACTCAGCTGCCCTTCATGAAGCTCGATGGGGCAGTGTGGTCCAAATGTCCGGAACCTTTTGTTAAAGGTAATGGACTGAGCTTAGGATCATCAGCGTGCTTCACCCTCCAGCTGTTTGGATCAAATGGGCAGATTTTCTCCCATCATGACTTCAGGAAGGACCAGCAGAGACCGTCTGGAACTGTTGGACAGACACCTCGTTGAGGTTTTACCCATCCACAACTTCCAACCTTTCTTGAGCTAAAGCGTCAGACCTAATAAAGAGGAGCAGAGATTGAGGCGCTGAAGGGTTTCAGTTTGTTGGGTCAACTCTTGAGTCCAAGCCGCCCACATCAACGCCCCGTGAAAATTCGTCTTTGTCTCCTCAGTACTCCTCCTTGATGTTTAGTGTCAGAGAAGATGGAGAAACCAGCCCATTGCTGCTACTTGTAACCATGGCAACGTTGCTGCTGCTCCCATGGAGTCCACTTCCTCCTCCGTTTCCTCCGCCGCCGGTGGGAGGTGTGGGCGTGGTGGTGGAGGAGGCGGGCTGCTGGAGCTTCTTCTTGTTGATCTTTCTCTCCTTCGCTCGTCGGTTCTGGAACCAGATCTTCACCTGAAAAAAGTTAGATTCACATCAGAACTGGGACATCAAACATTTGGTCCACTGGGCTTTGATGGGCCAGAACCAGCTAAGCCTGATTTTGATAAACAGCAAATTAAATTTAGACATTCAAAAACATATCTGCCTAGAAGAGGCGACATCAGTCCGCTTCAACGGTTTCCCACAAATAGAAGAACCAGGTCAGATCAGACCCACAGCTTACCTGTCTCTCTGAGAGACTGAGCGCCGTGGCCAGCTCCGCCTTCCTCCGGATAGTGATGTACTTGCTGTAGTGAAACTCCTTCTCCAGCTCCAGCCGCTGGTGGTCGGTGTAGACCACCCGGTACTTGTCTTTAGTCCGAGTCTTTCCATCTAAACAAAGAAAACAGCAGGATTTAGATCTACGACTTTGTTTAGTCCTGCTATGGTCTCATTATTGCTCCTCCTCACGTCATCAAATGCCTGATCGCCATGTTGGACGATGAACCAGCTGATTACCATCCATTGATTGATTCATCCATCCATACATCATCATCCATCCATTCATCATCATCCATCCATTGTTCTTCCACCCTTCCATTTATCCATCATCCCCCCATTCATTCATCCATCCATCCATCCATCCATCATCATCAATCCATCCATCGATACATAGTGGTTAGGACATAGAGCTTGGAATCCTGAGGTTCTGAGTTCGAGCCCCACTCCCACAGACTGACACTCTGGGTCCCTGAGCAAGACGCTTAATCCCACACTGCTCCCTGGACGCCGCACAGTAGCAGCCCACTGCTCCCCAAGGGGATGAGTTAAATGCAGGGAGTTCATTTCGTTGCTCTGTACTTACAGTGAAATGACAATTAAAGCTGGGAAGAGTAATCTGTCAACACATAATCATTCATCCATCCTTCCATCAATCCATATATCCATCCATCATCCACCCATTCGTCCACCCTCCCCTCATCCATCCATTCATCAGTCAACCCTTTATGATTTATCCATCTATCATCATCCATCATTCATTCAGCCACCCATTATTCATCCATCCATCCATATATCCATCCATCATCCACCCATATATCCATCCACCCATCCACCATCCACCATCCATCCATCCATCCATCCATCCATATATCCATCCATCATCCACCCATTCGTCCACCCTCCCCTCATCCATCCATTCATCAGTCAACCCTTTATGATTCATCCATCTATCATCATCCATCATTCATTCAGCCACCCATTATTCATCCATCCATCATTCACCCATATATCCATCCATCCATCATCCATCCATCCATCCATCCATATATCCATCCATCCATCCATCCATCCATCCATCATCCATCCAACCATCCATATATCCATCCATCATCCATCCATCCATCCATCCATCCAGCTGTCCATATATCCATCCATCATCCATCCATCCATCCAGCCGTCCATATATCCATCCATCATCCATCCATATATCCATCCATCCATCATCCATCCATCCATCCATCCAGCCGTCCATATATCCATCCATCCATCCATCCATCATCCATCCATCCATCCATCCATCCATATATCCATCCATCATCCATCCATCCATCCATCCATCCATATATCCATCCATCATCCATCCATCCATCCATCCATCCATCATCCATCCATCCATCCATCCATCCAGCCGTCCATATATCCATCCATCCATCCATCCATCATCCATCCATCCATCATCCATCCATCATCCATCCATCCATCCATCATCCATCCATATATCCATCCATCATCCATCCATCCATCATCCATCCATCCATCCGTCCATCCATCCATATATCCATCATCCATCCATCCATCATCCATCCATCCATCCATCCATCATCCATCCATCCATATATCCATCCATCATCCATCCATATATCCATCCATCCATCATCCATCCATATATCCATCATCCATCCTTCCATCCATATATCCATCCATCCATCATCCATCCATATATCCATCCATCCATCCATCATCCATCCATATATCCATCATCCATCCTTCCATCCATATATCCATCCATCATCCATCCATCCATCCATATATCCATCCATATATCCATCATCCATCCATCCATCCATCATCCATCCATATATCCATCCATCCATCCATCATCCATCCATATATCCATCATCCATCCATCCATCCATATATCCATCCATCATCCATCCATATATCCATCCATCCATCATCCATCATCCATCCATCCATCCATCATCCATCCATCCATCATCCATCCATCCATCCATCCATCATCCATCCATCCATCCATATATCCATCCATCATCCATCCATATATCCATCCATCCATCCATCATCCATCCATATATCCATCATCCATCCATCCATCCATATATCCATCCATCATCCATCCATATATCCATCCATCCATCATCCATCATCCATCCATCCATCCATCCATCATCCATCATCCATCCATCCATCCATCCAGCCATCCATATATCCATCCATCCATCCATCCATCCATCCATCATCCATCCATCCATCCATCCATCATCCATCCATCCATCCATCCATCATCCATCCATCCATCCATCCATCCATCCATTCATCCATCCATCCATCCATCCATCATCCATCCATCCATCCATCCGTCATCCATCCATCATCCATCCATATATCCATCCATCCATCATCCATCATCCATCCATCCATCCATCCATCCATCATCCATCCATCCATCCATCCAGCCATCCATATATCCATCCATCCATCCATCCATCATCCATCCATCCATCCATCCATCCGTCATCCATCCATCATCCATCCATATATCCATCCATCCATCATCCATCATCCATCCATCCATCCATCCATCCATCATCATCCATCCATCCATCCAGCCATCCATATATCCATCCATCCATCCATCCATCCATCCATCATCCATCCATCCATCCACCATCCATCCATCCATCCATCCATCCATCCATCCATCCATCCATCATCCATCCATCCATCCATCCATCCATCCATCATCCATCATCCATCCATCCATCTATCCATCCATCCATCCATCTATCATCCAGGGATGGCAGGGAAGTGGCAGCCTAGTGGTTAGGGCAGAGGGCTTGAAATCCTGAGGTTGTGACTTGAAAACCCACTCCCACAGACTGACACTCTGGGTCTCTCAGCAAGACCCTGAACCCTGATTGCTCCCTAGGAGCTGCACAGTGGCAGCCCACTGCTCCACAAAAAATGCGATGGGTTAAATGCAGATAGTTAATTTCTCCACTGTGAGATCAATTAATTACTTATCCATCCATCCATCCATGCTTTCATGTCCTCCTGCATTAATATGTCAATAATCATAATGTTATCAAAGATTCGGTTAATAATCTGTTGGAGGCGATTTTCTTTGGAGGTTCTGTTGCCTCCCAGACCAGCTGGGCCTTTTCTGCTTCCAGCGTGCTTGTGTGAAATCACACCAGCTGTCAGTATGTAAAAATGTGAGTGAAGTCGTAACTTTTTATGTAGCGTTGTAAACCTGGGTCAGGAGGCAGCGTCAGCCCATGGAGGTTTTCTCACCATGACTCTGTATTCAAATCTCTGAGCCGCATTTGCATCAACTGAGCTTTTATCAGCTTTTACTCATTTATGGGCCCAGAGTTCACATGTTGCTGTTAGAACTCCCGCAGTCTGAGCTGCTGCTGAGCCACGAATATGCCTACATTACCCACAATCCACCTGGAGCTGCAGGAAACTGTTAGCAACATCAGCTGGAAGAAACCAGCCTGTTTTTGAAGAGGAGGAACAGAACCAGAAGAAAACAGTTGGCTGGTTCTCTATCCATGTTGCATGGTATCATGAACCTGATCTAGGTTCTCTTCAGCTTCTGCAAAGCGACCTGGTTCTGCCTTAGAGAGGAGAAGCTCCCTCATGTAGGAGGACCAAAGCTACACCAGCAACAGATAGCAGGTGAGAAGGTCCTGATCCAGACGCATCATAAGAAGAACCTGGGAATTCTTTAACCACATCCAAGTGGGAGAAGAACTCGGAGGAATCATGACCAAACAGAGGGACCAAGCATACCAGACCAGAACCTGGGGGGAGAGTTTGGTCATTTTCTCTTCAAAATCAGCTTCAGCTTTGAGTCGGGCCAAAGACAATAACCTGGACAGAGCTTTGGGTCGGGCTTTCTCAGACCAGAACATGAGCACCACGTCAGCGACCCAGCAGCGCATATGACAGGGTTCTGAACCGTATACACGCCCCGGTCGGACTCTAACATCCATAAAACCATTTTCAAATATTTTCAGACCAGCTGGTCCTGATCAGAGTTCTTCTGGTCCAGATTGTGGAGCCGTCCATAAAAGGTCCATGAAAGGTCCGATTAGGGTTCCGGTCGCCCTGGGAAAGCAGCAGGAGGAGCTGATGGTTCTGAAAAACCAGATGTGGACATAAAGAGAACACAAAGGATCCCTGGTTGGTTCCTTCTGGACCTGGGAAGGACAGAGTGGGTCCGGTCCAGGAGACAGAACCAAGCTTAAAGAAAAGGAAAACAGAAACATCTTTGGGTTCTGCTCAGATTGGGTCATCAGCATCTGATCTGGTTGAACATTAACCCAGAAAGCACGGCAGTCCGATCAGCGGCAGGAGCACGTCAAACATTTTAGCTCCACATCTGTCAGAACCACTAAGCCCAAACACAAACCTAACTGAAAAAAATAACGCAGCTGTTTTTGGCATTGATTTACATATTTAGTTCCTTTAACACAATAGTTTTATGTTCTACCCTGCTAAACTATTGTGTTAAAGTAGCCAAATATGATTAAATAAATGCCAAACAGATGGCTGTCTGTCCTCACAGCGCAGTTCAACCCGACCAGAACTAACATTCTGGTCACATCTGGTACCTTTGGACCCATTAAAGGTTCTAGGCAACAAGCTCCAGCTGATTCTGATTGGACCAGAGCCGCCCAGTCCAGTCAGAGTCACAGCACAGAGTCTGATTCAGCACCAGAACCGGTTCTGGACCTCTGCTCTCCCGCCCATCTGGTTCTGATCCAACCTGAACTATTGACAGTTTTTGGTTCCATCGAACTTCAGCCAATCAGGATGAAGGAAGGAAAGAGGAGCAGCTGAAGGAGGGAAATAAATGACTTATTCATTGAGAAACAAAATCATAAAGAGATTCATTTTTAAGATTTTTCTGTGAACAAAATGTCAAACTTTTATTTTTCTCTGAATATCAATAATAAAAATAATTTCAATTTGTTCTAAACTAAAGATCTGGAACCTTTAAGATCCGTTTTCAGAAACCTGCTCAGAACCTGGTACCGGACCCAGAAGAAACACAGCTGCAGTTTCTAAATTATTTGCCTTTATTTTATTTACACTGCAAACAGTTTTTTTTAAATAAGTGCACTTTTTCTTGAATTGATGAGGTAAGTAAGACACTTTGCCAATGAGACAAGACATTTGACATTCAAAATGAGAATAAACTATTGCAGTGGCCTAGATCAAGTGCATATTATCAAATTATCTTATTTTAAGAGTAAAACACTCATTCCATTGGCAAATCATCTTATTTACCTACTCAAATTAAGGGGAAATACACTTAATTATTATTATTTTTTTTTTTACTTTTACTTATTTCTGGGTAGTTCTTGCAGTGTATATCTTAAGCTCTGAAAATCGGAACCTAAACTGGACTTTTAAGAGGTTCTGATTTTATTCAGTAAAAATCAAAAACTGCTGAAACCATCAGAAGGTTCTTTTTAAGTTGAGACATGGAACCAGAACCGGGTTTTTACCCATAAGGCTGAATTATTTGGGTCAGAACAAATAGATAAATAAACGAATAAACGAATTAATACAAAAATAATGAATAAATAAAGAAAAATCTGTCTGCTTATGTTCCGGTTAAAGATTCATCAGAGGTTCTGTTCAGTGGTTCTGATCTATGGCCATCATCATGTGGGTCACTGACCGGTTCCAGTTCATTTCCTGACAGTTTATGAAATATTTATTGTTGTTGTAAAATTAAGGAAAGAATAATATAATTTATTATAAATTTAAAAATGTATAAATTAATAAATGTATAAATTATTAATAAATAATCAATTAAAAGCATTAGATTAACAATAATCTCTTTAATCAGTTTAAATAAAATCTAAACGCGTTCGATTGTTTTAGAAGATAAAATTCAAAAATTTAAAATGAATAATAACATAATAATAAAACTAAATAATAATTGATCATAATTAATTATGCCTATAGATTATTTTAATGCCTCTCTGATGGCATCCAGATGATCTTTAGTCTAATTTTATTCCTGTTGTGGAGGATCCTGCTCCTATCTCCTGTTTTCATATCAGCTTCATATTTAAATGTCCAACAGTCTCTGCTGGGAGCGGCTGGATCCGGGTCCGAACTGGGCTCCAAACAGAACATCAGAACCATCAGAACCAGAACATCAGAACCATCAGAACCAGAACATTTCTCCCATCAATAATCTCGGAACATTTTCAGGGCCCCATGATCTCCCTGGTTCCGGTTCTTACTTGGGTTGCTGGGCGGTGCGGAGGTTCGGATCCAGTCGTAGGGGTTCCTCCTCCTCGGGGATCCGGGGGACAGCTGCCCCCCAGGCGGGTTCAGGCCGGCGGGCAGCAGCGCGGGCGGCTGTCCGGGGAACTCCTGGGAGCCGAAGCCCAGCGAGGGCCCGGTGACCCCGGGGCCAGCGGGGGGCCCCCCCACCGCTGCGGCGGCGGCAGCGGCGGCCGCGTAATGATGAGAGGACCAGTCCTCCCGGGCCGGGGGAGGGGGCGGAGGGTAGGCCGGGCTCCAGCCGCCGGCCCCCGGCCCGGCCTGCTGCGGGTCGGTGCCCAGGCCGTGGTGGTGGTGGTGATGGTGGTAGCCCGCGAAGTCCGAGTACTGCGGGGGGGCTGGTACCGGGAAGCTCTGCGGGCTGAGGCTGAGGCCCGGGTGGCGGCTCACCGGGTTCTGGTGGGAGTACATGCTGGGCTCCTTGTCCAGCTGCAGGTAGCTGACGTACATCTTCCCAGGTGAGGGTTCTCCCTCAGCATACTGCGGCTCCAGCCTGCCTGCTGCCGCTCACCTGTCTGCAGGTGAGCTCCGTGTCCGCGTGTCCGTGGGTCTGCGCGCTCCTCCGCCGGCTGCCTGTCCGCTTCTCTGCGCGCGCTCCGCCTGTCATGCGTTAAAAACGGCCGCGGTCACATGGTCCGGTTTATGGCTCCGATCTCCTCCTCTTCCTCCCCGACAGCCTTCATCGGGAGCCTCTCCTCCTCCTCCTCTTCCTCCTCCTGCGGCCCGCGGGCCTCTTTCTGCCGGCCGCATTTACATCACAGTCCGCGGCTGCACATCAAAGGCTCATCAAAGTGCCGCTCCGACCGACCATCCATCCATCCATCCATTAATCCATCCACCCATCCATCCACCCATTAATCCATCCATCCATCCATCCATCCATCCATCCATCCATCCATCCATCCATCCATCCATCCATCCATCCATTAATCCAGTATAAAGGTGAGATTTAATATTTCTCATAATTAAAAAAAAAAAAAACTTTCTGCAATAACCCTGTATTTAATTATTAAAATATTTTAACATAGGACAAAAATGTGGTTTTATTTAATTTTTTTGTTCTTTCTCTTGTTTTATGTTCATTTCATTTTCCAGCTATATTAATAGTGCTAATCTTTGTAATGAATTCAGAATTAAATGAAAATTATTATTACTTTAATAATGATAATAATAATTTCAGACTTCCCATTTTGTAGGTTTTTATTATGATTAAACATTCAGTGGAACCGATCGGGTTCCTATTTCTGTAAAAAAAAAAGAAAAAAAAAGAAAAAGATGTTTAAAAACCCGGAGGAAGGTTTTCTGATGTTTCATTTTAAGAATAAAATGATAAATATTTCAAAGAAAATAAACGACCAACAATAAAGTTTATTATCACAAATTTTAACATGAAAAAAAATTTAAATGTGAATTGAAGAGGCAGACAATCAAAATAAAATAGGAACAGAAAATAATCAGATCAGGCCAATTATTTTATAACAGCAGAAAGTTCCAAATATTTTATTCTGATCCAGTTTGTTCGGTTCGGACGTTTTGGACCAGAATCCTCCAGAACCTGAAAAAGTCCAGAGATCATCTGAGGTCCAGGACCTTCAGGACTCTGATAGAACCCTCCTGTGCTCAATGAGCGGAACCGAACCTTAATGTTGGACCTTCTTCACCTCCACGTTTATCCACAGGAAAAAGCGCATACCCGTGCGCGCGCACGCGGAACAAATATTTTAAAAATGATTTATACATTAAATATAATGTTATTATGTTTTTAGAACTAATCTATCAATATACACTGAAAAAAATAATGCAACTGCTTTTGGCATTTATTTAATTATATTTAGTTACTTTAACACAATATATAAAAATATATATATAAACTATGACACATCATATTTATGAAATTATAATTTAATAAAGGGAATAAAATAACCTTTAAAAAATTTATTTCTAAGCAGGAATTAAATTCCCCTTCAGGCCATTATTTTATTTTATTTTTTCATTAAATTGTGTTTTTGTTAGATGGTATTTTTGAATATTGCTGAACGGTTGAATATTTTAATACCCTCCTTCCTGCGGACAGCAGGGCAGCGGCTCGGTGACCTCTGAGGGACTCGAACCGACAACCGTGAAGAAGCCTCCAAGGCTCCAGCTCCGTGTGGAGGAATTATCTGCATCTTTATGGATTTATGGGAGATTTATTGTTTTACGCTGATGAGTATTTATTTTAGTCCGCAGCAGTAAAATCACATAAAGTCTCAGTAGGCTAATCATCCGCTGCAGTTTTCATGTTTTCGAGTGTTTGATTGGAGCCTTAATGGTGTTTAAACTTCTGCCTGGACAGCTAATCCGCACCAGTCTGACGGCTTCTAGAAACCATAGATCTAGCTGTCCGTTGATGCGGTCGGATTATTCATCTTTTCTGTTTCAAAGGTGCCGATTATTTCATCATTTTGCTGTTAAATGTTTCTGTTGTGCTTATTAGTAATTATTGTTCATAAATAAGCTGGAATATTTATGAATTGATTTAATTTGTGGGATAAATTCCTCTTTTTAGATTTTTTATTATTATTTAAAGAATTAAATTAATTTATTTGGTGAAACCAATAATTAATGATCAGATCAACAGAGCCAGATGTTCAAATGAAACCAACTCAGGCGTGTTTAGAACTGAGTTTAAATAAAGTTCGGGTTTTAGAACCGAATGGAAATCTGCAGACGACCAAAACCGGTCTGGCAGAACCGTCGGTTCCGTCCAAACATCAGTCCAATGGGTCTGACTGATGTGATCCAGGCAGAACCAGGAGAATCCAACCTTAAACAGCGATGATCTTTAGGTTCGGAAACATGCTCAGACCCATCAGAAATCCAGAACCGGATCAGAACCACCAGGAGGATCCTGACCTGAGAGCGGTTCTGTTTCCCCTCACCTGCAGGTCAATCATTAACCCACCGAGGCTCATAAAGCTTCACTTTATGGAGAGTGATGATGATGAGGATGGGTCATAAATGATGAAGAAAGGGTCAGAGCACACAGTCTGTTTAACCACAGACCTTCAGAATAAAACTAAACAAAGGAAAAAATATATATATATTCTGAAATAATAATAATAATAATTGATTACTATAATTTCAGAACCGCCCGATTTATCTCAGTGATGAAGAAAAATCAGCATCTTTCTTCTGGAAACATCTAAAACATCAACAGACAGGGATATCAGATTATAGATGCGATTAGAATTTAATATAATCAGATTTAATCCGGTTTCTGTATTCCAATCATCCGCAGTAAAGTCCTTCATTTCTGATCTCAGCAGAATAGAACAGGTCTTTTCTGACTTTTCTCTCTTAGTTTCATTCTTTGGCCCTCAGTCATTTCAGAGGGCCTTGATCATCAGAACGTTTTTCCTGCTCAGGCGGTTCACCGAGATACAGAGATACATAGATAGGCCTACTAAAATATGAATTTGTTGGTTTTATGCAGAAAAATATTACATTGAAAGGGAATCTTCTTAAATCTAATTTTCATCTGCCTTTTTTTGCTTTTAGTTTTATTTAACTGCAATCAGAAAAACGAACATCCAGAGAAATCAGACGGGAAAGAAGGTGAAAACAAATCTAGATCATTTTTAGCCTGCAAACAGACTTTCTAATCTCCTTCACTTGTTTCAGTGAAATATTGTCTGAGTAGATCATTGTTTTGGTAAAAGAGAAATAATAATAATAAATGTGTTTTTACAACTTCAATCAAAGCAAATAAAAACGTTTGGGGCCTCCTGTTTCTGCTCATCATAGAAAACTGTTTGGATGGACGGTTCTCTGCTGCCCCCTGCTGGTAACACTGAGAGCTCTCTGGACTTCTCCCCATCAGCTTCTACACCTCAGAACCTCCTGGTCTCACTTTTTTAAAACATGGACGGATAAATGGACCAGACTGGTTCCCTCTGGAGGATCCCAGAACCGCTCTGGTTCTAGAAGTAGAGCGTCTAGAAGCTTCCTGTGGGGGAGGTGGGTGGATTAGCCAGAACATTTTACTCAGGAGCAATACAGCTTTAACATTTGTTTACAGGTGCTGGTCATAAAATTAGAATATCATGAAAAAGTAGATTGATTTCAGTAATTCCATTTAAAAAGTGAAACTTGTATATTATATTCATACATTACATACAAACTCATATATTTCAGATGTTTATTTTGTTTAATTTTGATGATTACAAATGACAACAAATGAAAATCTCAAATTCATCATATCAGAAAATTAGAATATTACTGAAGACCAATAAAAACAAAGGATTTATAGAAATGTTGGCCAACTGAAAAGTATGAACATGAAAAGTATGAGCATGTACAGCACTCAGTATTTAGTTGGGCCTCCTTTGGCCTGTATTACTGCAGCAATGCGGCGTGGCATGGAGTCGATCAGTCTGTGGCACTGCTCAGGTGTTATGATAGCCCAGGTTGCTCTAATAGTGGCTTTTAGCTCTTCTGAATTGTTGGGTCTGGTGTATTGCATCTTCTTCTTCACAATACCCCATAGATTTTCTATGGGGTTAAGGTCAGGAGAGTTTGCTGGCCAATTAAGAACAGGGATACCATGGTCCTTCAACCAGGTACTGGTAGCTTTGGCACTGTGTGCAGGTGCCAAGTCCTGTTGGAAAATGAAATCTGCATCTCCAAAAAGTTGGTCAGCTGCAGGAAGCATGAAGTGCTCTAAAACTTCCTGGTATGTGGCTGCGTTGACCCTGGACCTCAGAAAACACAATGGACCAACACCAGCAGATGACATGGCACCCCAAACCATCACTGACTGTGGAAACTTTACACTGGACTTCAAGCAACGTGGATGAAGTGCCTCTCTTCTTTTCCTCCAGACTCTGGGACCTTGATTTCCAAAGGAAATGCAAAATTTACTTTCATCAGAGAACATGACTTTGGACCACTCACCAGCAGTCCAGTCCTGTTTCTCTTTAGCCCAGGCAAGATGCTTCTGACGCTGTCTGTGGTTCAAGAGTGGCTTGACACAAGGAATGCGACAGCAGAAACCCATGTCTTTCATACGTCTGTGTGTGGTGGTTCTTGAAGCACTCACTCCAGCTGCAGTCCACTCTTTGTGAATCTCCCCCACATTTTTGAATGGGTTTTGTTTCACAATCCTCTCCAGGGTGCGGTTATCTCTCTTGCTTGTACACTTTTTTCGACCACATCTTTTCCTTCCCTTCGCCTCTCTATTAATGTGCTTGGACACTGAGCTCTGTGAACAGCCAGCCTCTTTAGCGATGACCTTTTGTGTCTTGCCCTCCTTGTGCAAGGTGTCGATGGTCGTCTTTTGGACAACTGTCAAGTCAGCAGTCTTCCCCATGATTGTGTAGCCTATAGAACTAGACTGAAAGACCATTTAAAGGCTTTTGCAGGTGGTTTGAGTTAATTAGCTGATTAGAGTGTGGCACCAGGGGCCATCAATTTTGAACCTTTTCACAATATTCTAATTTTCTGATATGATGAATTTGAGATTTTCATTTGTTGTCATTTGTAATCATCAAAATTAAACAAAATAAACATCTGAAATATATGAGTTTGTATGTAATGTATGAATATAATATACAAGTTTCACTTTTTAAATGGAATTACTGAAATCAATCTACTTTTTCATGATATTCTAATTTTATGACCAGCACCTGTACTCAAATAAAAGTAGAAAACAGTAATCTGATGAATGACTTAAGTACTGATAAGATGGTACTCGGTACTCAGAAAGTACTTGGCATTCAGAAAGTAGTCTCTACTCAAAAAGTATTTGCTTCCAAAAAAGTTGAATTGAATTTTGAAGTGAAAAAGCTTCTTGGATGGAAAGTGCAATGTCTTCAAACTCGGAAACAAAGTCCAGTTGATTGTTTTAAATTTTATTTTTTGGAATGAATGACCTGGATGACTGAGAATCTTCAGCAGCAAAGTATTGTGAACTCGGAAAGTACGTGGTGCTCAAAAAGAATTCTGTAATCAGAAAGAATTCAGTACTCAGAACGTATTGGATACTCAGAAGTATTAAGATTCTTTAATTCTGCATGGTGAAAAGTAATAACCTTAGTGTTAGGAATCATTTAGTGATAACAACCTACTGAGCCTACTGGCAAAATCTGAAGCCATTCTGTGGGAATGATAACTGCTAATAACCACCATTTATTGGGATGATTACGTCCGAAGCGGCTGCAAAAACACACTTTTACTGTGTAAAAGAAGACAGAATAACAGGAAGAACCCCATGAGATGATGAACAGGTTCCATTTATTAGAACAATGTTTACAGACTTCATCCTCACCAGCTGCCAGATGAATTTACAGAAATAGATACATTGATCCACTACCACTGAAAAATAAGTCTAATGCTATTTTGGTCACAATGGACTATGGCGAGCCTTTTTGATATGTATTAATTTGACTGAATATGTATTCCTGATATCTAAAAAAAAAAAAAATGTCCTAGTCAAGATTACCATTTCAAACAAAATGACATACTTCACATCTAGAATAAACACTCTGGATGTTTGGGAATAAACTATAGATCTCCATATTCTTATTGTTACTGGTCAGAATTTGTATTATTTTACCATGAAGACATTTATTTCAGATATCATGAATACATATTCAGTCAATGTGATAAATGTCAAAAAGGCAACTTAAAAGGTGTAAACATTTCTAGGTATATAAAACTTAATTCTTACGAGAATGATTTTGTTTTTTACTTTCTGAAATTAAGTTTCTGCCGAAAAAGTGTAATTTAGAAAATATATTATTACAGTTCAGTCTAGGAGTGGGATGTTGATCAGGAAGAATCTTATTTTAGTTAAATGGAACAACAGAGAGCAGAGTAATGTAGCAGACCCTATGAAGAAACAGAGGGTTAGAGTTTAGGGGCCAGATTGGGAGGAGAATGGAACCTACATTCCTCTCAGCGGGAGCAGAAGTCTGACTGAACATTTCCTGCTCTGGTTTCACTGATTATTGCCTCAAAGTGTTGCTCAACATTTTAGCTCAGAAGCTGCATCAGGCTTGTTTACTTCCTTTTTTTAATGACTATATACTACTGATGGGTTCTGCCCCCTGCTGGACATTTAAAATCACTACAGGCAGCCTCTTTAACACACTAAACTGGTACTGATTTGATGATGTATGATTTAAGCCATTGTTTGCTATAATGTATTATTTCATACCTATAGTTTACATTGAAAATATTTGATATTTTTAGATGCAATCCATAAATGTGAAAATATAACAAGAACATTTAAATGAACATGTGAATAAGGATGTTTGTGGACTAGGATTTATTTAAAATAACTATAGTAGGAAATAGTGTTGTACAGATACCAGTATCAGGTGGGGCCCTGATCCAGCACTAAACTGGTGGTATTGGTATCAGGGAACATCAACAAATAGGGCACTGATACCATTTTGAGAGCCAAAACTTTATTCAACTATTGTCACCCATTCCAGGTAGGCAATAAAAAGTTCTACTGGATTCACTTTGTTTTAGTCTTTTTCCTGCTTCACAAAGGTAGGCAGCAGATTTACAAAGCCATGATGGCAATTATTTTACACCCAAGTAGTGTGTAGTTCTTCATATATACACACATTATAACACATTAATTTCAAACAGATTATATCGGTATAGTATCGGTATCGACTTTTTTTGAAAATAAGTGCCCCATCTGGGGCTTTGATGTTAGAGCTCCACACATGCACCGCCGCTGGACCCATCACTAATATAAGCGCATGTATGTTAATATATATTTTTTCTATCTTTAATGGAAGGGTATTACCTCTGGTTTTGTTTGTTTTGGTCAGAAGACAAGAAATGAATTGATTTCTGTCTCTTAACAGCGTTCAGTTCGGACATTCGTTGACGGTCCATCAGTGAACCATCCTTTGTGAGAACAGGGAGCAACCACTGATCTGTTTATTCTAGACTGCTGATTGGCTGAAAAAAGTGAAGCCACCATCTACCATGCTGGTACTCCCCACTCCCACGGAAACATGCAGTAAGAGTGCCTACATGTGTAGCATTTGGCTGCAGAAACAAGCAGTTTTCCAGCTGTGGGAAGATGTTCCACAGGTAATTTCACGGTCAGTGGATGAACTAACCAAGAAAATCAATATGCTGATTATCCTATAGTAAAGTATGTAGCGTAACGTTAGTCTGGCTATTCCAGAGTGAGTCAAAGATAATGACTGAATTAGACATTGACTTTGTGTCTAAGATTAGAAAATAGAAAGGACAGGAAATAGAAAATAATTCATAGTGAAATGTAAATGTAGTAATTCGTGAACCCCAGTCGGCCTCGGCAGATGGCCGCTCACACTGAGTCTGGTTCTGCTGGAGGTTTCTTCCTGTTAAAAGGGAGTTTTTCCTCTCCACTGTCGCTACAAGCATGCTTGGTGTGAGGGATTGTATTCAAGTCAATGAGTCGATGCAATCAACTGGTTTTCCTTAGATAGAAAACTTTGAATGAATTTGACTGTATGATCTGGTTGTACTGTAAAGTGCCTTGAGATGATGTGATGTGAATTGGCGCTATAGAAATAAACTGAATTGAATTTAATAATTGGATGACACTGTCGTTTTTGTAGCGTTTGTTGTATTTCTCATTTGAAAAAGTCACGTGCTGAAATATAACACGATATATTGACGAAAAAAAGAAACTCAAACACTTGACCCCCCTTCTCTCTATATATAAATATATATATAATATACGTTAGACATGTAATATGTAATTACTATAACAATATAATACATGTTTATTACATGTACATCATCAATTCAGCACTTTTGACATTTCAGTATTATGCTAAATTAACACATTTAGTTTATTGTGATGGATTTGCATAATATGTTATATTACATGAATTATAGACTTCCTAATGATTATGCAATGTGATTTGTCTATTTTTTATTATATGTTAAAGTAATCTACCTATGCTATGAATCAAGCAAGTCTGTGTCAAAGTGATAGATTATATTTATTCAAAAGTCTTAAGTCCCCCTGAAAATAATGCCGTAATGCACGTATTGTTTACATTGTGATTGTCTAAATTGGGAGTACCAATATGGCGGCCGGTGGCTTTATTTCACCCCGTACTACAAACGGGCAATCAGCAATCCAGTGAATAAATAGAGGTCAGGTGGAGCAACACGTAGCGGCTGGCTGAACAGAATCGGAGCGACCGTGAGCTAGGTGCCGCAAACTCCACATTACCACGGTAACATAGTGTGTTACCATGGTTACCAGCCTGGCTAAGTATGAATCCTGCTAATGGTTCAGGCCTCGATTCCAGTCTGACTTTAGTTCTAACTTCTAGGTGTGGTGAAGGAAGCAGAAACCGACTCAGAGTCTGTTAGTTCATTTCACTTTAATAATAAAAAGGAAACTAAAATAAAAATCTGAAAATAAAAATACATGGCAAACAACAAAGTGAACCGATTATGAGGATAATCATGGTCGGATGATGACGATGATACAGTAATAATAGTCACCATCTTCATCATAAGAAGCAGAATAATAAGAATAGAAGAAGAACTCTATGTTCCCCGATCACTTGTTGGTTGATAAGACATCATGTTAAGCGTCGCACAGGCCGGGGCGTGGCACACTGAGAGCGAAGATACCCCACAGAACCAGGACAGAACCAGGACAGAATCACAGCTCAACGATTCACAGCACTGCGTGAGAAACGGATGGAAAGAAAAAAAAAAAAACGTCTTCTGAGCGAGAGACCGAGGCCCTACTGGGGGCGGGCTCGGTTCTGATGTGGTTCGGATCAGAGACGGCTGAGGGAGGCTCAGGGGGGTGGGGGGGTGAAGGAAACCATGGCGCCGCCTACAGCTTTGGCACCGTCTGAAATATTCCCGAGTCGGGTTGGATTCTCCAGGTTTATGGAGCTCCGGAATGTTCTCCAGAACAATCTGAAGAGCAGGTGGCTTTAACCAGAAGCCGGCTGTTTTGGGCCAAATGTTGGAAAGATGAGAATTTAGTCCGATTAAACTCTGATCGGTTCTGGTTCTGAAGGCACCATCAGAACCGACTGAAGAACAGGAAGCACCACGGGTTCCTTCAAGCGGTCCCAAACAACAGCTGGGCCCGAACCGCCAGCAGAGCAGAGAACAGCCACAGGTCCAAACGGGTCGGAGTTAAGGGGATTGGGAATGCTGGTTCTGACGAGTGTTGAGACGGAGGGCTGGGAGGAACCTGCTGCAGGACGGTTCTGACTTCATCTGGTCTCACCTTTTAACTCCAGAACCTTCTAAACACAACTACTCTGTTCTTTTCTAGGACTCTTTCTAGACCCACAGATTTGGTTCTGATCCGGATTCTCTGGCTGGTTTTTGTTGTTGGAGGTCAGAATGAAGGAAACATCTCAGAAGGTCACATGTAGGTGGGAACCATCTCATGGTTTTAATGGTTTCCAGTCCAGCAGCTGGGTCTGAGGGTTCTAAGAACCAGAACCAGAGCAGGTCAGGACAGGGACAGAGGATGCTGGTGAGCTTCAAAGGAACAACTGGACCTCTGAGCAGATTGATTTTGGTTTGAGACGTTTCAGAGAGAAAGGAAGAGACACTCTAAGCACCGCCCACAAAGGATGGCAGTACAGTTAAAGAAAAAGAACAGAAAGCCTCAATCAGCCCTAATCAGCCTCCTTTACTCACAATCAGCCTCCTTTACTCACAATCAGCCTCCTTTACTCACAGTCAGCCTCCTTTACTCACAGTCAGCCTCCTTCAGCCTCAATCATCCTCCTTCAGCCTCAGTCAGCCTCCTTCAGCCTCAATCAGCCTCAGTCAGCCTCCTTTACTCACAGTCAGCCTCCTTCAGCCTCAGTCAGCCTCCTTCAGCCTCAATCATCCTCCTTCAGCCTCAGTCAGCCTCCTTCAGCCTCAATCATCCTCCTTCAGCCTCAGTCAGCCTCCTTCAGCCTCAATCATCCTCCTTCAGCCTCAGTCAGCCTCCTTCAGCCTCAATCATCCTCCTTCAGCCTCAGTCAGCCTCCTTCAGCCTCAATCATCCTCCTTCAGCCTCAGTCAGCCTCCTTTAGCCTCAATCATCCTCCTTCAGCCTCAGTCAGCCTCCTTTAGCCTCAGTCAGCCTCCTTTAGCCTCAATCAGCCTCCTTCAGCCCAGTCAGCCTCAATTATCCTCAGTCAGCCTCAGTCAGCCTCCTTCAGCCTCAATCAGCCTCCTTCAGCCCAGTCAGCCTCAACCAGCCTCAGTCAGCCTCCTTCAGCCTCAGTCAGCCTCCTTCAGCCTCAGTCAGCCTCCTTCAGCCTCAATCATCCTCCTTCAGCCTCAGTCATCCTCCTTCAGCCTCAATCAGCCTCCTTCAGCCTCAATCATCCTCAGTCAGCCTCCTTCAGCCTCAGTCAGCCTCCTTCAGCCTCAATCAGCATCCTTCAGCCTCAATCATCCTACTTCAGCCTCAATCAGCCTCCTTCAGCCTCAATCAGCCTCCTCCAGCCTCAATCAGCCTCCTCCAGCCTCAATCATCCTCCTTCAGCCTCAATCAGCCTCCTTCAGCCTCAATCATCCTCACTCAGCCTCCTTCAGCCTCAGTATCTCTCTTTCAGCCTCAGTATCTCTCTTTCAGCCTCAGTATCTCTCTTTCAGCCTCAGTATCTCTCTTTCAGCCTCAGTATCTCTCAGCCTCCGTCAGCCTCCTCTGCTGGGGAATGGAACGTGTGTGGTGTGTGAGTGTGTGTGGGGGGGGGGTCTGCTGAAGCGAGGGAGCGGCAGCTCGGTCAGCTCCTAGCAGTCCTCGTCCTTGTCGTCCACGACGCCTTTGAGCCGCAGCCGGGCAAAGTCCTCGAAGACGAAGTCATCGTCCTGGGAGACGCTGCTGAAGACGAGACAGACAGACTGTTAGAACCCGACCCATTACCATTGGATCAGAACGCCCCGACCCTTACTCACTTTGTGTCGAACTCGATGAGGTTGGTGTCGATGGGCGGGTCTGAATCTGGCACGGCTGAAAGGCAGAGGATAGGGTGAGCGGAGGATACCGTGGTAACGGTGAGCGGCGCGGGCGTGTCTCACCTGACTGTGGGCGGGATGTCGGCAACTCCACAGGTTTTGGATGCATCAGGATGAAGGGCAGCTCCACTGACACGTCCCTGAAAACGGAACAGAAACGAGCTGCTGAGTCCAGAATCACCAGAACCAACAGCCTACGCCCATTTGGGCCAACAGAACCAACAGGATACTATGTTTACATGTACATCATTCCATTTTTCATTGGATCGGTGAAGTATTTCTACCATAAGGCACAAAAAAGGCCCATTGACTCTGGTTTATTCTGCTTTCCCCGCCTCCTTTTACAAACGTCAGGATCTGATCCAGAATGGATAAATACAGCTAGGACTGATTTAAAGCACTTTTTAGAAAAGGCAAAGAAGAATAAACAAACCAGGATTCACATGGAACATAATATAATATAGTGTATTTTTTCTAGATGTTTGTTAATTTGCATAGTTGCTCATAAATAAACACATTGTCAGAAAATAAATAGTTTTTATATATTAAAAAACTATAAAGCTGACTAATAGATTGAAGTGGTACATTACTTTTTTAGGGTTGTGACATTATATTGGACCATGTAAAACACAGATTTGCCTTCAAAAAGCGTGAGCAGGGTAGATTTATGTACAAAATGTAAAGCTGTTCATGAAATTACATTTTGTTTTTATGTTTTTTGTTGTTGACATACTGGTGTGATAACTTAGAATACATTTGACTGGTTTTTGGTTTACATCTATTTTGAATTTATAGCCCCCCCCCGGGTGAAACTGCACGAGCCGCCACTGCTTTTAGAGGTCTCAAGCGGATCCTAACCCGACACAAAGCAGAACCTAAATGGACCCTAACTCAGCACCGAACACAGAGGTTCCCGGTTCCATCTCTCCTCAGTCTGGGTCGGGTTGTGGAGAACATCTGCTGATGGTCCAGCCTCAGCTTTCTTGGTCTCCGCATGATGCAGAACATGAGGTCTATAAGCCGCTCCACTAACAGGAAGTGACATCAGAGGAGCAGGAAGTGTGTATCTTACCCTCCACGGGACACCACCAGTTTGACCTTGACTCTGTAGGACACCAGGATGCCAAGAACCTCCTTGTTGGTGACGTCCTTCACTCTGGAAGAGACAAAATGTCATGTGACCACAGAGTTACGCCTGGGCCTGTGTGTGTGTGTGTTTGTGTTTGCGTATATGTTACATGGTGGAGGAGGCCAGGTTGGTGTCTTCATGCTTCAGCTTCCCGTCCAGAGCCAGCCCTCTCTTCTCTCGGTTCTTGTCCAGCGTCGGGGTCAGAGTGTACACCTTACAGAAGGTGGAGCTGGATGACACCTGGTCGCTATGGAAACCACAGGCTGCTGTTAGTCATATGCTTCAGATGGGGCCTGCTGCCTCTACAGGGCGCAGCCTGACCAATATAGAACAGTTAGATCTGGTCTGAGTGAGTCGGACCTCATGTTCTAGAACCTTGGATGTTCTACAATAAATGTCCTCGTGAAACATCAGCCTCAGCACTGTTCCACTTCACAAGAACACAAAACCAAGAAAGGACAAAGTCCCTGGATGTTGTTCTCTCCCCTCTCTCTTTACCCAGCATGCATCAGAGCAGACGTCTGTTCTCCAGACTGACAGCGGTCCCAGCATGCACTGCGGCAGCAGCAGCTTCCAGTGGAGTGCTCACAGAGTATTAAGCTAAAAGTTCACTTTTTTGTTGCTGTTGTTCTACAAAAGGACGTTACAAGTACATTTTACTTTTAAGCGTCACTATATGGCCCATTTGGACCTCCGAGGCGAACTGTTGCCAGGGCTAACCTTAGCCTCTCTCAGCAGAGCCGTGTGTGAAGTACCGCTGGCTATGATGGAGTTTTTTTTTTGTTGCTTCATTTGGGAAAAGTTAATTTGACTTGTGTTTATATGACTGTGTTAATCACTAATCCCCCACTAAATAAAAAAAAAGTAATAATTTATCATTATGTAGAGACTATTGATAACAGAAATGCAGCTCCAGACGAGCCCAGCTTGTTGAAGTAACAAGTACGCTTCTGTTCCAATTGACCCATATTCATTCTGTGTGCTCCTGTTTTCCCAGAGTCCAGACATTCCCGTGTTCTTGTCAAGAACGTTCTTGGCGAGGACATGAGTCCGTACTCGCAATCTAGTGAATTGAGAAACGGCCCTTGATTTCTTGCTGGGTGAGCCTCCTGAAAGAACAATGTTACCCCGGCTTCAAACAACCTGGCCTAGTTTAAAACAGTTCCCTGCTTTGGTGGTGCAGTGGTTAGCGCACACAACCCCTTAGTCCTCGACGCGGCCAGGGTTCGAATCCGACCTGTGGTCCTTTGCCGCATGTCTCTCCCCTTCCCTGTCAGCCTACTGTCCAAAAAACGAGCCACTAGTGTCGTAACAAGGAAGAGGAAATCCAGTTTAAACTGCTTTATACTGTCTCTAAACCCTTTAAACCACGTGAACAGAGGTGGTTCTGAAAACCTTTAGCATCCCTAGCATTAAGGAAACCAGTATACCAGTTTAAACCAGTTTCTATCTGGTTGTTTACACCAGCATGAACGCTCACATCTGAACGGATCAGAACTGGTTTCCCTGCAGATTCTCTCATTCTGGTGAAATGTGGACTTACTCTGCTTCCAGCTGGGCCACTGGACATTTGTATTGGGCGGTGCTGAACAGACAGATGTCGGCGTACTGACGCACTGCAGGGAGCAGAACACAAGCAGACGGGTCAGAAAGGTTCTGGTCAGAACCATGAGGAGGAGCTGGAAGTGGAGACGGGAAGAAGACCTGAGATCTTGACTCTCTTCACCGTCTTGGTGGAGTTGTTGGTGACGTGGACGTTCACGCTGATGGGCTCCCCGTGGTAGTACAGCTGCAGCAGAGCATCATGGGAAAAACAAGTTCGGTCAGAAAATGTGACTCAGGAGCTGGACTAGCGGGTCATGGCGACGGCGGTTACCTCCTTATCTAAGGAGGCCTCCAGGTGCAGGGATCTGTCGGACATCAGGAAGCTGCGGGTCGTTTCCACCATGGGCTGAGGACCCGGTTTCTCCGGAGCGTACTGGACCTTCCTGATCACCAGGCGCACCGAATTCCTGCCAACGACACCAGCCTCAGCAGCCTGGAGGGGCGCCCCCTGCAGGTTGCCGTGGTAATGCGGCCCAGAACTCACCTCTTGTGGATCTTCTCCTCTATCGTTTTGGCACAGAAGGCTCTGATCTCAAAGTCCACGCCGCAGGCCTGCAGGACGACAGACAGAAGGTTCACAGTGATCAGATCGGGCCATCAGAACCGCGGTTCACCTGATCACAGCTGAACCCATTCAAGGGTTACAAGAACCAGAGGTTCTGCCTGATGTTGGCCTGGTAAAGGTTCAGACAACTTTGACAGATTCTTTAAAGGTTTTAAAGCTGTTAGAGGTTCTGAAGAACAACGAGAACCGGATCACCCTTACCTTCCCGGTGTCTTCTGGGCCAGGTTGGAGGGTCACTGAGCACGGCAGGTTCTGAGGGATCTGGAACAAAACAACCGCAGTTAGAAACCAGAACCCGCTCTCGCTTCTGATGAGGCTCCATGGTGACCAGGAGCCTTCATCTTCTGAAACCTCCTCCTCTAACCACCCGGTGACATCACCAGGCCCCCTCTGGCAGCAGGGCGGCCTGGATCCATCAGAACCAGAACTTTCAGAGCCTTCATTATTTAATTGGTACTGATGACAGATGTTCATCTGAGCTTCAGTTGCATCTGATCTGATCTTTGACTAGACCGGCTTTAGTTTTATGGCCGGTTCTGATTCAGGAAACAGTCTTGATGCGAAGGAGAAAAACTGAACCAAAATGATCAGAACCAAAGGCTGTGGATGTGATGGAACTGGGTCAGAACCTTTAGAGCAGATAATCTAAGGCCGTCTGGTGCGCTGCAGCACCATCATGGGCGGGGGTCGGCAACCTGTAGCTCTTTAGCGCCCCCCTTGCAGCTCCTCTGAGCTTTTTCAAAAATTTATGAAAATCGATTTTTTTTCTTTTTTATATGGTGCGCAGGAGGTCAAACAAAAATTTATTATGTTTTCCAATGCTGTAAACATTTGGATAATAAATACATGTAAACAATCATTTGCATCATAGCCATAGAGTCATGGATCCCAAAGGGAAAGAAGGAAGATAGCTGGTGAGAAAAGAGGATTCAAAGAATGGACCGAATCATTTGCTTTCATTATCAATGAAGGATTGCCTGCATTTTTGCTTGGTAATGAGAGGTTGTCAAAAAATAAGATATAGATATATATATAAATAAAGAATTTGGAAAGGCATTTCCAGGGAAGGCTAAATATGCAGCTGATCACCAAGCTGGGAGGAAGAGAAAATGTGCAGAACTTCTGGATAAATCAGAGGAGCTCAAAGATAGTTTAAGGAGTGGATTGCATCTCCAAACTCCACTACTGCTGCTAGTTTGGTTGTAAGGATGGAAAACCTTTTACAGATCAAAAAGGTAGCGCTCTGATGCAGGGATGGGAACTTTCTTCCATGTTTTCCCCAAATCCTAAAAAATAAAAATAACACCAAGCAATGCTGGTGATGGAGGATGTGGGATTTCAGGGTTAGAGAGCTCTGCTCTGATGGATGTCAGTTCCTGCTTGGTTCCTCATGACTCAATCAACTCCTCCCAACAGAAACACGTAAACTATAGAAAGATTCCTTTATCCTGTTGCTATAATTTCATCAAAGCTTAAAAACTTAAACCGTGCGGTGAAGGGCGGTGAGAGCATTCACTGCTACTCTATCACCTCATGCCACTATGTGACATTTGCTCCAGGATAAACATTTAATCATGAATGATTATTATATATTTAAGCCTAAATAGTCCTTTTCTATAGTGGGATAAAACACTTAGAGCCCGTGTTGCCATAAGAGGCTGATAGAAGACTTTTACATTTTTGCGGCTCCAGACAGATTTTTTTATTTTTGGTCCAATATGTCTTTTTGAGCAGTTTGGGTTTCTGACCCCTGATCATGAAGAACCAACACCGACCCTGTTTGACTCAGACGGCACAGCTCCTGAGGTTCTGAAGGATTAAAAAGAGAGTGCATGGCCCGACATTTGGGTCGGTTCCAGATGTTTTGTCTTCATAAAACCAGGCAGGTGAAACGAGACTGCTAAAGAACCAGAACTCACCGTGAAGTAGAACGGGTGGGCGTGCTGACCCAGCTTCTTCAGCAGACGCTCCTGCAGCCGACTGTTGGACTTCTTCTCCTCTGGAACCGGAGGGAAGGCCTGCGGAACACACAGAACCTTAACAGCCAATGGAAACAGAGGGATTCTAAAGGTTCTAGTATGACTAAAGGGCCGGATCAGAACCCTGCAGATGTTCTTCACCTGGAAGGTGGAGATGTAGAGATCCTTCCGGAACGACAGGCCCAGAACGTCCAGGTCTTCCCGGCCGTAGCGGAACGCACAGGTCAGAGTGACGAAGACTGCAGAGGAAGAGGAGTCAGTCTAAAGCTTGAACGGGCTCACCAGAACCAAGGTTCTGGGTTCTGAACACATCTAGGTCACTAAAACCCATCTGTTGCTCTCTACAGCCGGTTCTGTCCTGTAGACCCCGGTTCTGGTCCAGCTCACCTTTCCTGTCCTTCAGGTACTCCGGGTCGACCAGAATCACTCCATCTGGGAGGAGAACAGTCACATGGTCAGAACCAGAAGCAGAGCCAGCTTTAAACCTTTGGTTCTGGTCCGGTTCTTACCAACTGGGTCCACATGGTCCAGATGATCCACAAAGTCCCTCTTTCCCAGGTAGACTGTGAGCTGCAAGGTCAGAAAGAACCATCAGATCCGACTGAACAGAACCTCTATGTGTCCCTCGGGCTCTGAGGTCCGGTCCGGTCCGTCTCTGGTCTTTAAACCCTTGAGGTTCTGTTCTGTCTCTGGACAGGTACTGGTAGAACACACTTTCACAGTGTGTTCTACCAGAACCCGTCGAGTTCTGGTCTCAGAGGAACATCATCATAATGTCAGTACTGGGTCATGGTTCTGGAGGACCGGACCCAGGCCTCCACCACAGGGCCCGGTTAGAGAAGGAACCAGAACTCACCTTGCAGTTTGGGCTGGACTTCTTAAAAACCCTGAGAGGTTTGGAGAAAAGAAGAAGAAAACAAGAGGTTAGTGGAGCGGTTCTGGACCGGAACCGGATCACACTGACAGAACCGCTGTAACAGCAGGAGCTGCAGGTTCTTGTGGGCCGGGCCAGGGCCTGAGGAGGTGAGTAGAGGAAGTTGTTGGCTTCCTGCGGTGCTGAAAGAAACGGCGGTTTATCTGAAACCAACAGGAAGTGGTTGATCTGACTATTATGGGATGTCTGCCTCTGCAGACGGAACCCCTGAGCTTCACAGCTTCACAGCCCAATACAAACAGAACCGCTAACCGGTCTCTCATCTCTCACAGGTCCAAAACAAACGGAACAAGAAGACGACGTGAGTGGAACCGATCCGATACCTGCTGCTGATTACTTTCAGACATTACCAACGGATTTGGGCTTTAATTAGAACCAGAACCACTTCAGATGCAGGCTGAGACTCTGACAGAACACAATCAACTCATCCAGAACTACATATCGATATATCAGTGAGGGTTAACCTTTGACCTTTGGCTCCTCTGGACAGACACCAACCAGCCCTGATCCCACTGCCTCACTGCTAAAACGATCTAGAAATAGGTCAACATTTCTTAAATTAAGTTTATTTAACCTTAATTTCAGAAGGTGAACAAGATGATTTTACTCTTAAAAAAAGATAATTAAATAATATACGATTGAAATGAGAAAATGCAATTTTTTCCCTTATTTTAAAGTCGTAGGGAAGCGGCTGTTCCAACCGTTGCATTTCTGAATTCTCCCGAGTGGTGCACGACTTTACACGAGTGAATAAAGTGAATGTGAGTGGTCGTTTATCAAGGGGGCGGGATTATTGTGGTGGAAGGTTCACAAGCAAGTTTGATTGAAGCGGTTTCTCTGAAGAATCTTTGCTAATCAATTAGCAACTTGGTGCTATTGGTTTCCCAATGGGAAATTCCATTGGGACCAAGTAGCACAAAATTTTATGACTTAGAAACGACACTGTCAAGGAACGCTATGGACAGCGGAAAGGAGGAGGAGAGTTTAGTGTCAGAGGTCGTGGATGAGTCTCCTCCGTAACACATTTTTTTATTCAAAGGAGGAAAGCGGGGAGATGTTGTGGAAGAGGCGGCAGAAGCTTGGTTTGGTGTAGAAGGCTTACAGCCGTACATGTTTGAGCCCTTGCCTCACAAAGCTGCCAGTTCTGTTAGCTCTACGCCTGCTGAAGACACAGACGTCCATCCCAGTGAACACTGGGACGGGACTCAATGGGAAAGGAAATGATTCTGATTTCAACCGTTGCGTATATTAGCTGTGACATATGAATCAAGATGCTATGACCGAAAAAATGTGATTGACAGATGACCGTTGATATATGATTGGCCGACTTTAGGTGTTCAGGCTGACGTATAACTAACTGGCCTGCATAAGATAACGGGGAAAAGAAAACGCAGATTTCTTTTGGGACAATATAGTCTGATAAAGAGCACATTTATTTACATGTTTAAGCCAGAATGATTTGACTTTAAATATGACTTCCCTACGACTTTAAATGTAAATCATCTTGAAGTTGTCCAGGTCACAAAATTTATTTATTTTAAGAAAAAAATGAGTTATTTAGATTTTATTTTTATTTTCAGTGCTGGCAGCAGCTACCAGTCCAGTTGAAGCTGCTCTACTGGACCCAGTGGTTCTCTGGGTTCTGGAGCAGAGACGACCTTTGGGCCATGTTCTGACCTCTGCAGAACCTGCTGTGGCGCTACTTCCTGCAGCTCGGCCAATCACAGGCATCCTGCCCTACAGAGCTGATGACCTCAGCATGTTTGTTCCAGCAGCATTGGCTCCACCTGGGAATAACCTCCACCTGCTGCTTCCAGCTGGAGGAAGCTGTTGGAGCAGCTGCTGCTGGAGTGACGCTCCACCTGAGCGCCCTCATCGCCATGGAGACGAAGCTCTGGAGGTTCACTGAGGCTCAGCTGCTCGCAGCTTGACAGCAGATCTTCTGTTAGTGATGCAAATATCTGTGCTGTATAGTCAAAGTGACCGTCAACCAGATGTTGACTCAGCAGTTTTATGGAGAGAATTTCAGGTTAAAGGATTTTAGCCTGAAGGAACATTCCCTCTAAACTGAAGCTCTTCCTGTCAAACAGGAAGGAACCGATTTAGGGATAGGGCTGTTCCAGGATCAGAGAGAAATCATCAAGAGATTTAATCTGGAGCAGAACCCTTTGATCCAGAACAGGCTGAGCTCCTTTAGTTCATCCATGTTCACGAAGACTTTATGAAAACAGTAGAATCTGCTCTTTAGAACTAAATTAATACAACAATAAACCCAATGACCTAAACAGATCAGTTCTTAATAATCCTTTTCATCATAGGTTCTAAACTAGCTTTTTAACAGATGTGATCTTCAAGATGATCTGGATCCTTCCAGAAGAACCTCTCATCAACAAACTCTAATTTTCAGACAGGCTTTATGTTCTTAGCTTCTTTTACAGAAGCAACATTTTCCAACAAAAATCCAGAAGAACAAACATATTAGATATAAACAGGTGAGAACAGGAAGTCAAATAATAAAGAATATAGAAGGTCACCGTTCTGAGGACTCAGGATAAAGGTTCTACTGATACATGATGTTCTCATAAACCAGATCAATAATACTTTCAGTCTATACCTGGTTCTACTCTAAATGTCTCTGGAACTGGAACGTTTCAGAGAGTTAACTGGTTTAGCTGGACGGATGCTACATTATCTGGTTTCTAAAGGTTTATTTAGTGGAACATTCAGTGGAACCGGTTCCCATCAGTTCCAGGGCTGAGTTCTGGTTCTCTGGACTGAAAATGATGTTGCTGTTGTAGTTACCAGATCTACTCGGGGCCCTTGCCACCTCTTATGACGTCAATATATAGTAACTCCACTCGGACAAACTGTATTGCACAATTTTCTTAAGAATCAAATCTCTTTTGGAGTCTCAACACCTATATTAGCTATTATTTTACATTTCATTGGCGATCTAAAGTATCCAAAAGTAAAAAAGAATAATTCTAAGTCTTGAAAGAAAGTACTTCGTTCTAAGACTGAGCTCTGATATTTAACAAGATGACAAAAAAAGTCTCAGCTTATTTTTATTCTTTTCATTTAGATCTGAGGACTTAAGGGACAAATGGAACATCTCAAACATGACTTTCGTAGAGAGTTTAGAGAAATTAAACAGTTGTTGTAAAAGAAGCTAACCTGTTAGCTAGTGAGCAAAGCTAGCCACAGCGCTAGCCAGCTCCCCCCCTTTATATCGTGGTCATGCAGTTACTTTGTTCATCATAGAAAGATTTCTTTCAGTGTTTAATCGATCAGGTAAAACCTAATCGATCATTAGACACGCTAACATTACAGCTGCTGCTGACTCGGCACACAGATGCTGCGTAATGTTATTATCGTTGTCTGGGCAACAACGTTTCACATCATGTTGCAACGTTCAGCCAAACATGTAGCGTAACGTGACTGGCATGAAGCAGGACCCAGCAGATCTGGTACCTACACCGTAATGAATCGGATCAGGGCAGCACCGGTACTGATAGTTTCCTCATTTTTCTGCAGGTTCCACATTCCAGGATCTGGTCTGGCTGAGCGGTCCAACATAACCACCTGACCTGTGGACGGAGACCCACAGGTCTAACTGTCTGTCCAGGTGAACAGAACTAAGCCTATTTGGATCTGAGCTTTAGAGGAGAACCATGACAGTCCAAAGGGAGGACTGGTTCCTCTGGCCCCTGACCTTAGGACAGGAGGAAGAAGGACTCCTGCTGTCAACCGGACAGGTCCAGAATCTAACAGCTCAGCTGCTTTTAGGTTCTGATGACCAACAGCTTCAGCTGTATAAGGCTTCAGATGTTCTCCATGATGGGATCTCCAATGGTTCCCTCCCTGACCGCCACAGCAGTACCAAACACTAACCCTCAGCATGCCACCAACACCCATGTGTTTCCTGGTAGCCCTGGTTATCCTCCCGCAGCAGTGTGTTGCAGTGAGCTTGTCGCAGATATTTTTGATTTATGCCCAATATGGAAGCGTGATCTGTGCTGTTATTCCACTACACAACGCAAGAGGGACAATCAGGAACTAGCTGTGGGTCTAGATACGGCCGAGGCAGTGAGGAAGTGGGGGCAAGTTTATCCGACATCGGAGGGACAGGAGGGCGAAGAAGAGCGGGGATCCAGGTGGAAAAAGGGTCCCAGCGTTCTTGCACACCTCGCTCTTCTAGCTGGTCAAAGTTAACGAGTCGTTTTCCACAATGGCGATCATACAAACGAAACAAGCCGGTAAGGTACCAAACAGGAAATACGCATAATGTAGCCTGTCTGCGGCGACCTACAATTCTGGACAGCTGCAGTAGAGTGTCTGCAGAAGGGGGCGGAGACATACCTGCGTTCACTGCGACACACGCAGACGACCTGGTTTCTGAGTATAAGGCCCCGTCCACACGAAGTCAAACCCTGGCCTAAACGCACAAATTTTTCACCAAACCAGCCTCTCATCCACACGAAGCCGGCGTTTCGGGGGTCTGTAAACGATCTTTTTTTTATTCAGCCTTCAGAGTGGGGAGATTCTGAAACGCCGTTTTCGCGTTTCCATCTTTAAGCTCTAGCTGCATTTTTTTTTTTTTTTTTTTTTTTTTTTTTTTTACACGCATGCGTCATATCTTCGCCTCTAAACACGCATGCGCGACACAGTATCACAACAACAAAGGCGCCATACTGTGTTGAATGGTTGCTGCTAATGCTACTCACCCTTAACCTGACAACAGCCAGATGCATGTCTCGCTCCGCCCAGCTCCACTCACATACATCTGGGAACCCGCTCATTGAAAGTGATTTCCCCAACCGAATTTATGGTCTGTCCAATCAGGACGCAGGGTGGGTGTGTCCTGGAGTGGAGAAGCGACCGTGAGATTCCAACAACAATGGCGGCTCGCATTGAGGAAGCAAGCGTTAGCATTGATGCTGCTATGTCTTCTGTGTTGTCCAATCTATCTGATATTGTTTAATTAAAAGAACATCAGAGAACAGCTTTGAAGGCTTTTGTTGGTGGAAACGATGTTTTCTGCCTTCTCCCGACCGGATTTGGCAAGAGCTTGATCTACCAAATGGCTCCTCCTCTCACAGCGTCACGGGTTAGCTTCGGTGTGAGTGGTTGAAATAGCACGTCAATAAAGATGACAGACAAGTGGCTTATCCAATCATATGCAAGGAGTTTTGATAAGGCCCAGCCTTCAGTAAAGGCAATTCCAATGGCGGGTTCCCAGATGTATGTGAGCGGAGCTAGGCGGAGTGAGACATGCATCTGGCTGTTGTCAGGTTAACTCACCCTGCTGTCGGGCTTACAACAGAATCTTCTTCTTCTGGAATATCTCCAGGAAGAACAGAGCAATATCGACCACATAGTTCAGCACCTGAATTTGACTGAACCACGAAAATGGACCCGCAGGGCAACCATGTATAAATATTAGTGCGCATGCCCAACATTTCGTCGCTTATTTTTGCTTTGGCACCACAGCGCCACTTACAGGCCTGGCATACATTTTGCAGCGTTTTCATGCATTCGTGTGGACGCTCACATTTATTTTACGTCTCCGTCTTTACGGCAAACGTTTTGGAAAATATCAGCGTTTCGTGTTCGTTTTGACTTCGCGTGGACGGGGCCTAAATCAGCCTCACCCCTCAGCATGCCACCAACACCCCTGTGTTTCCTTAGAGGACTTGCTTCTCTTCCAGACCATCTGAGGGAACTGCTCAATTATAAAGGTCAGAACTCTGAGCGCTGAACCACTAAAGCACGGCGGTGGCACCAGCGCCTAATGCTGTGGGATGGATGCTTTGGATCTGGAGGATCGGGTGAACCAATTTTCAGGGGACAGCATTGGGATCCTAACCAAATCAAACATTTCAATGTTTTGGACCCCTCAGAATGAATAAAGCAGTTATTTGTGTTCTGGTTCAGGTTGGGTCACTCAGCCTGTTGGTTCTGATGGTTCTGAATGAGCGGCCTCTGCTCTGAGGATAGGTCAGGAGGAATATTTCAATGGGGAACAAATCTGATGGAAAACTGAGAACCTGAGGAACGTTTGATGAAGGTTTGATTTAAAACTTCTAAAGGAGGGAAACTGATGAGCTCTGCGTCTCTCACTGCCCTTCAGTCCTTTCAGCTTCTGGGTCTGACCTGTTCATCCTCCATCATAGCTCTGGTCCCTGTTCACCATCAGGCCTTTTCTCTGTTCCAATGTTCTCCAGATGTTCTGCGGATGTTTTGGAAATTTCTATGGTTGAACATCTATGAGGTGCAGCATCTGGAGATTATTCCAACTATCAGATGGAGCTTAAAGACCTCAGAGACTGATTGAGGCAGAAGCAGGTGGGGGAGGGGCAGTGTGATTCAGCTTTTTCAACTTCTTTAAACAGATCGAACCCAACTTTAGAAAACGGATCCCATCTAGAACCACAGCAGAACCGTTCTGGATCAGGACCTGTTCTGTTATGGAGGAAACCAGCTGTGGAGAGATCACACACAGGCTTCATGACTTGGAACCAGAACTCTGGATCCAGAACCCGACCGAAGCAGAACCACTGAGCTGATCCTGAGAGAGTAAAAACAGGACCCAGAACCTCCGGGTCAGAACCTCTGGGTCAGCAGCCTTCCTCTACCCATCAGCCGTGTTTACATCTGGGTCCCCCCCTGCCCACCAGTTTCCTGACAGGAAGGCGCTGGCAGGAAGCGGGTCGGGCTGAACCGCTCGCTGTTAAAAGTCAGGAACTCCACGGCTTCAGATTCTGGCCCGACGGCCCGACGCTGAGTCCTCCTGAATCGCATTTACAAAACAAATGAAGTAGCAGGGCGGTGGTTCTGGTCCAATTCTTGTGCAGCAGAACCTCTGACACATGATCATGTTCCTGACACAGAGGACAACAGCAGAACCTGACAGCAGCTCAGCTCACAAAGTTCTGTTGAGGGACCAGAACCTCCAATATGTTCCAGAACCCAAAACCTCTTCTAACCCGGTTTTGGCCCAGATCAGAGAACAGAACCTGAAGCATCTCCCAAAGGATGACAGATCAGTGAGCAGCAAGCACCAGAACCAAAGGGTTCTGGACTAGAACTGAAATCAATAGATCTGTCATGTTTTCCATGCTCTTTTGGTTCTGGTTTCCTGGACCAGAACCAGGAACAGCTGTAAGATAATTGGAAGTTTTTAACATTGTTCCGAACAGAACCTCTGGAATCATATGGATCAGCTGGACCCAGAACCATGAACAGAACCAGTCTGGACCTGCTGCTTGGTTCCCTGAAGGTGAACTATAGCAGAGATTCGGCACTTTGACCCAAACCAGCAGAACCAGACACAGACCGCCTGCCTCAGTCCGGTTCTTCAGAACCGGAACCAGATGAGGCCTCTGATGGACACAAACTGAACCTTTAAATCTCCACTTCCTGTTTACTGGGTTAGAACCCGTTCATGACAGTCGAACCAGCACAGATCCAGCCGGCCCGCTGCGGGGCTCAGACAGAACCAGCACATTCGGTCCAAACTAAGGGAAACGTTGAACGGAACCATTTCGGTCCAAACAAACAAATAACGGAACTGTCTGTCAAAGCAGAGAAGTTCTGGTCCAATCCGCCCACCTGCGATCACGCTGCAGACCCGCGTACCACCGCACGAACCGAACCTTCTGTAGTCCCAGTAACGGACTGGTTCGGACTGCTGTCCGGACCGACGCTGGACCGGCTAACCCCACCCCGCTGGGCTAAATTGTCACAGGGAAAACAGAACCGAACGGGGCCCCGGCGGTTCTTTGGGCTAAGGTTCGGGTGCCAAACTCCAAACTTAAACTATTACCCCCCCTCAGCCCCGCAGGCCCAGCTTCCTCTCCCAGAACCAGCAGAACGGCAGCAGCCGTTAGCCCAGCCCGCAGAGCCACGGCTAGCAGCAGCTAACAGCGGTTAGCAGCCTACCTGGTCCCCGCCTTGTCCCCCATCTCCTCGGCAGGCGGACGGCAGCAGATCCCGAATAAATGAGTCCTGAGCCGTTGGTGTGCTGCTGGTTCTGAGGCGGAGCAGGTTCGGTCCGGGAGGCTCCGTTCAGCCGTCCATCCACCCAGAACTGGTTGGTATGCTAATGGAGTTTAGCGCCGCCTCGGTTCCCCCGAGCTTCCGCAACGGCTGAGTGTGTGTGTGTGTGTGTGTGAGAGAGCGGGGTTTGCTGTGTCTGTGAGGACCGATGCGCGCCGCTAAAAGCGCAGCAGCGAGGACTCCGGGGTCAGAGCACGCAGTTTCATTCCTGCTGAGGGTTCGGTGGCCGAGAGTCGGTCCGGATGAGGAGGAGAACCCAGAGAGAGGAGAAGGAGGAGGAGGAGGAATGAGGAGCATCTAATCTGTGTGTGTGTGTGTGTGTGTGCAGCCTGCGCAGATTGCGCAACTTCAGGTCCTCCACATCATGTGAATATTCAACAGATGATTCATCTGAGAGGAACTGGGCCAAGACCCGAAACCGAACCGGGGGCCACCGTGGCGATAACATTAAAATAATCAATTAAGATTTTTTTTTAAATAACATTTATTAATTATGTAAATAAAGTTAATTCATTTCTGGTTTGAAACTGATATAAAGAAAACAGAATGTGTGTTTTCTGCTCTTTTCCGGGCCGTCTCTGACTTGTGTGTTGGGATTTGGAACCGGTTCGGTCCCGTCCGTTTGTCTTTGGCCAGCTGATGGGATGTGTTCTGATCCAGAACAGCTGAGAGCAGCACTTCTCCATCCGTCGGTCCATTTCCTGCTGCTTATCTGACGGGTCAGGCTGGAACCCGGAAGTCCGGCCCGATGGGTCTGGATGGGTCCAGAAGTGCTGAGCAGAAAAAACAACAAACACGAGAGGAGGACAGTGAGCTGGGACAGGCCGGGTCAGATGGACGGTGTCCAGAACCTTTAGAACCTCATCTCCAGCTCTTAGGTTCTGGTCCTGGAAGCTTCTGAGGGGGCGTGGCCACCTGAACCAGAAGCCCTGAGCTCCAGCAGAACCTCTGACCCAGAACAGCAACACCCTCCTGGTTCTGACCTCTAAGTTCTTCCTGCCTGTGTTCTCCGGAAGAAACCACTCCTCATTTTGCAAATGTTCCAGCAGCTCTACTGGACCACTGGCCTGACGGGTCAGAACCACCACATGCAGGCAGGAAGGAAGGATGAACCTGAACCAATGAAACCTCCAGAACTTCTGCTGGACTAGGTCCAATAAGAAGTAAAACGGTCCAAACCAGCGCTCCCAGTACAGAACTGGCCTCTCTGTCAGAAACGGTTGTCTTTGTCCAGACGGGTCAGAGATGGACCTCCATCCCATAGGCTGCTGGTTCCTTTGGACCTTTTCATGACCCAGAACCAAACTGGGCCTTTTTTCTGGAATCAGCATGGTCCTGTTAGGAACACGGTGTCGCTGAATGCTTCCAGGACCCGCTTGGACCCGTCTCAGGGGTTCTGAAGCTCTTAAAGTGTTGAAGATCAGCAGAACCTCAAACTGCTGTGAAGGAGTTCTGGTTCTGGTCCAATCTCCTTTACAACCTGGCTTCAGTAATGGAGTTCTGGCTCAAATTTCTGGTTCAGGTCCAGCATGGCGTCAGTGATCCATATCCTCCTGATGACCCGGTTTGGACCGGGCTTCAGCTGCGGTTCTATGATACCTTGGTACAGAGGTCGGGTCCAATTAGACACCCGGTTCTGTGGCTTTGGAACCAGGCAAGATAATCAGTACATTTGGTTCTAGTACTTCAGAGGTTCTGAACCAAACCTAACGTCTGAGTTAAACGCACCACAGAACCTCTAGAGATGGTGGTTATCACTCCAGAACCTTTTTAAAGGACGGGTCAAAGCTGACAGAACAGACTACTAGAACCCTAAAGGTCTCCTCAGACCCAGTTATGTAAGGAGATTGATGGTGGAACCCAGTCTGGGTCCAAAAGGTCAGTTTCCTCTGGTTCTGCTCACCCCACCCATTCCAGAACCAGAGGAGGTTACAGCCGGTTCTGGAACAATCCTCTGATCCAGAACACGCTGCTCAGCAGAATCATGTTGTGAAATCAGACCATAAAGAGGCGCTGCAGTCGGGCCTTTAAAACAGGACACACCTCAGAACCGGGCCGTCCAAACTGTTTCCATCAGGAAGTCCAGAGCCGACCCGGCCGCTGTCCCTGTCAGCCTCGTCCACTTCCTGCGGCTGTTTTGGATCAGCGCCGCCGGCCTTCCTGTGGGAACTCAGAGGAAAAGATGAGCCCACAGAATCGGTCCGGGCTTTAACCGGGTCTAACCTTGGACGAACGGCCTCGGCGCCAGTGGCCCAGCCGCTGAATCATAGAGGGAAGTTCGAAAGGAGAAATGGAACGGGTCAGGGAGCATGATCGGACTGAATCAGCACAGAATCTCAGAATTCTCATTTTGAGGTTTCCTCTCGGTTCTGCAGATGAGACCATGACCTTCTGGACTGAACCTGCTGATACTCGCTGACGGTTCTGCTTCAAAGGATCCAGAATCTTTCTGGTCCATGTCCAGACGGCATATTCAGAGACTTTTTTAGAACGACCGGTAATTCAGGGACAACTGCAGACCACTGGAACCAACTGGAGAACAGAGATCTGAGCGTTACCATGGTAACAGTAGCTGTAATGCAGCGGTGCTCAAGTCCAGTCCTCAAGAGCTGCTATCCTGAAACTTTTTGATGCACCCCATTTTTAACACACTTGAGTCGGATGAGTGGCTCGTTACCTTGCCTCTGCTGAGCTAAATTAGGGGACTGAGCCTCTTGATTCAGGTGTGTTAGAGAAGAGATGCATCTAAAAGTTACAGGATGGTAGCTCTCGATGACTGGACTGGAGCGCCCCTGCTGTAGTGCCATAAGCCTGATTTATACTAAACTTTTGAAACTATACTGAGATCGGTCCAAACAGGGTAACCGAGATAACCATTGACTGTAAATGTCAGCTCATGATTTGCTTGTTTCCCTCTAGAGAGCAGTAGTAGCGTAGATTGTCACTGGGAGGCGAGGAACCGTGCTAGCAGGCTCAGACTGGGAACGATTTTCGGCCCTGGCATTTTTCCATCGACACTGGCCCACTTATGTCCACACTCACCACATCAGCAGGGTTGCCTGATGTCACTGACTCATGTTTTCCAGCCCAAAAGATTTTCATGAACCGTCTGGATATATACGAAATAAGAACCAAAGTCTATTGATCTCTTAGGCCATAAATCTAAAGAAAAATATTTTTACCCATAGACGGCCATCCTAAACTGCACCACATATCCGATTGGGAAACAACCCAACCTGGCAACAATGCATGCAGACAAGATTGCATCTAAAGGAAACGAAAGCCTTTCGATGCAAAACCCCATCATGCACCGCAACATCTTTTTGCAAGATACTCTAACATTAATTCAGCAAATATAAGAGGAACATCGTAGTTTGGTTTAAAGAAAGCATTTTAATTTTATTATAATTTAGTTTGTTGCTAAGGATTTTAGTTTTATTATAACTTAGTCTGTTGCAACGATTTTACAGTTTGAAGAAATAAATTACATCATATGCCAGCCGTCAGAAGGAGGTGCATGACAAGGCAGGGCTATATATACCGCATGCATCATCTAGGTAATTAACATCGTTTACTTCTTGAGCTCCTTGAGTAATTTACTGTCACAGGTAGGAGCTTCATCCAGAGACTAAGTTTTGGGTCCTGTATGATTTAAGGAGGGCGGGCCCTCGCACGCTGAAATTAGGACTAGCATCACAGATTACCAGTCCAAGCCTGCGTGCTAGTGTGGTGTGCAAGTCGTGAGGAACCGAGGTCGGCATGGTTAACTGATCCTAACTAGGTCCCAACTCGGGACAGGTCAGAGTAGTGTAATTTGGGTTATAGAGAACTGAAGGTTCTACAAGCTGAGAACTGGATAGATTCCAGAACCCAGCATGAGGGTAGCTTTATTTTGAAGGTCTATATCCAGCTGCTTCGCCGCTGAAGGTTCTGGTTCTGAGGGTTCTCCTTCAGCCAGCAGGGTATTCATTTGTCTGGATTGTTTTGGACCTCTAGTTCTGAATAGGTGGACTGTTGTATGGTTTACTGCTGGTTCCGTGGTCTGATAGAAATGACAGAAGCTAAACCTGGAAAAAAGTCAGCTGGTCTGGTTCTGCTCAGGGTTGGTTCTAGTTCTGCTCAAGTCCAAAAACAACAAGCATCGGGTCTGGCTTGGTTCAACACAACTTTATTTACAGACGTAGTTCTGGTTGATCCCAGTTCAGATCCGGATGACGTAGGAGTCGGAGTGAGTGACGTATCGGACCCAGCGCTGCGGCGTGCCGGGCTGGACCGGAGTCAGGCGCAGGAAGCGGATCAGCAGTCCGGTGGCGGTCAGCTTGGGCAGCTCGAAGGTCAGAGCGACCGGACCGAGCTCTAACATGGAGGCCGAGCTCAGTGCCGGGACGTCCAGCTGGGAAAGAGACACATGGGTCAGAACCAAAAGGGTAACACAGATGGATCTCTGCATGCACAGAACCAGAACTCATCAGGATCGGCAAACTGGAACCAGACTTTACCTTGATGATTCTTAAATGTTGGCTCGTAGTTCTGCTCTATAAACTGGGCTGTAGTAGTTAGAACCTATTAAAGGGAACGGGTCAGCTCAGCAGGTCCAACTGAGAAGGACCCAGGTTCTGGTTCTGAGCCTCCAAGTAACTTCATGTAAAGTTCTGAGTCAGAAAGAACTGAGACGAGGGGATGGCCGACCCGCTTTAGGGGACCCAGAAGACCCAGTTTTGCATGTCTCCAGAAAGTCCGACCCGAAAGACAACTCAGCAGAAGAAGGACAGGACCGGGCATCCCTGTTCTAATGGACTGGATCTCAGTCCCACCAGAACACTGGAGCCTGACTGGCATAGAACCGGGTCTCTGAATGGTTCTGTCTGAGATGGCTTAGGTTTCTGTCCAGAACCTCTAACCGCAGACCCCAGAGTAAAACATAGGTCAGATCCTTAATCTGGACTGAGCCGGTTATTTCCTCAACAGGTTCTGATCGTTGCAGGCACAGAGAAAAGAACCCTGACCTTGAACAGGGCGGAGAGCTGGGTTCCTCCAGAGAAACGCGGGATCCTCCAGACCACAGCTCGGTTCTGCTGCTGCAGCTCAGCGTTCTGATCCGGACTGCTCAACTCCTGGGACAGGCTGGAGGGACAGACGATGGACATCATCATCATCAGACACCAGACTCTAGCTGAACCCTCCTGGTTCTGGAGCCATGGAACCAGAACCAGGTGGGTTCAGCTGGAGTCTGGACCAGACTTGTTTGAATGTTCTGATGTTGGACTCTGCTGGGTCGGATCAGAACATCAGTCTGGATCGGCAGGCCCTGTGGTTCTGTCCGACCCAAACTGCTGCTCAAATGGCTCATTTAATCTCCAGATCAGAACCAGGTTTAGGTGGATCCATCCACCAGAACACACCAGAACCAGAATCTACTGCAACAGGAACAATAGTTTCCATGGCAACTAGCTCACCTGACAGAGCCTTTTGGAACCGGGATGAAGATGCTGACATTGATGGCAGAGCTGCAAAACAGGACAGGAGTGTCATCATCATCATCAGTAACAATCATTATCTTCATTAACCATCACCATGGAGACCCTCCTCCTCTTCCTCTCTAAACTCAGCTCCCTCTGACCTTTGACCTTCACCTGGGTCTCCAGAGAATGTTCTACTTCCTTCTGTTGCTTCTCTATCCTGACTTTCAACACGTCCCCTTTTCATCATCGGGACAAAGTCCAACACACTCCCTGTCCATCTTTGGAAGCTCTCTCTATCCTGTCATCGACTTTCTTTCTCAGCTGTTTCAGGTCCAGGTTCTACTGCCTGATGACCATCCTGGTACCACCTCTGTGGGAAGATGAAGAGGGGCTGTGGGCTCCATCCTCAGACTCACTTTGCTGGTTTCTGCTGACCCTTAGAAACAGGATGGGTCCAATCAGAAAGAACCAGGATGTTTCAAGTCAGAAGGAACCATGTTCGGTCCAGTCAGAAGGAACCAGGATGGGTCCAGATATTCTGATTCAGGACCTTCTGGTTCCTGTCAGGCTGATGGACAGAAACTTCACTCGATTGCTTTTTTTTTTTCTTCCCCAGAAAGGAACTAGGGCCGCCTCCTAGCAACCAGCAGTGCCGAGCCTGGAGCTGGTCCAGATGTTTGCATATGTCGCTCGTGCTGACGTGCTGCTGCACCTAGACTGATTTTCATGTGCAAATCAGGGCCAGACGGGCTGGAACGGGCTGCAGCAGCCCAGTTCAATCAGCCCTGTTCTGACCCGCCCAGATCCAGCAGAACCGAAAAAAACAAACAAACAAACATGAACCTTCAGACGGATCAAGCTGGGAACATCTAGACCAGTTTAAATGGATCCATCTGGAACCCAGACCATAACCCAGTACGCTCTATACCCTCTATATCTATCTGCAGCAGATCTGGCAGCCATGATAGAGGGTTCCACCAGAACTGGAGGTTCAGGTTCAAACGGACCTCTTTGGTGGAAGATCACAGCGGAGCTTCAGGTACATCAGGAGCCTGCAGAGAAGAAGAACAGAACCAATCAGAGAGCAGGAGACATTTTGGACACAGGAGAGGTTCTGGTTCTAGTTGACCGGGTCAGGGAGGGGGATCCACTTCAGCTCTGCTAGAACATATAAACTAGAATGAATAAACAGATCTTTGGTTGTTGTCTCTGTTCTTATCCCAGTTTGTCTGCTTCTGGACCATGAATGCTCCATAGAACGTTCTGCTTTTCTGCATGGGGAACTAAAGAAAGATCTGTGGGTGTTCAGAACCCGGTATCAGCAATAGATCTGCAGCCTAAACAAGATGTGGATCCACTGATGGACCCAGAACCACCTTCCTCACAGTTCCTTCAGTTTCTCTTGAAGAACCAGATGTTCTAACTTCCTGTTTCCTCTGTACCAGCAGTTCTGGTTCTGAGGGCGGTACCAGCTCACCTTCCAGCAGGGTCCCTCTCTATGGTTGGGAAGAGGCGGAAAGGCAGCGGCGCCGGCAGCTCATCCCTCAGCTGGTACTGCATCACCGTTTGCTGGAGGAGGAGGAGGAGGAGTGAGGGAACAGCAGATGATGAAGAACTAATCCAGAACCACAGATGGTTCCGTCACCTCTCCCTGTGTCGGACAGAGACGCAGGATCCTGTGGCTGTCGAACTCCTCCAGCTGGACCATCTGATGAAAGCTGCACTCATCGACCCGCACCGCTGCTCCGTATCCTGGACAGAACCAGAACCTTTTAGTGGGAAACTGGTTCTGACCCGGTCAAAAGACCAGGTGGGAGGAGCTTACCTCTGACTTGGGCCTTCCCTATGCAGAACTCCTCGTTTAGACCGATCCTCATCTCTGAGACAAACGACAGAGTGGGACAGATTCAGACTCACAACTGTCTCTCTGGTTCTAAGGGTTCTACTGTCTCTCTGGTTCTAAGGGTTCTACTGTCTCTCTGGTTCTAATAGTTCTACTGTCTCTTTGGTTCTAATGTCTCTCTGGTTCTAATGGTTCTACCGTCTCTCTGGTTCTAATGGTTCTACCGTCTCTCTGGTTCTAAGGGTTCCACTGTCTCTCTGGTTCTTGTTCTAATGGTTCCTATCATCTCTCTCTTTCTAAGAGTTCCACTCTGTCTCTCTGGTTCTAAGGGTTTCACCGTCTGTCTCTGGTTCTAGTTCTAAGGGTTGCACCGTCTCTCTGGTTCTAAGAGTTCCATTGTCTCTAGTTCTAAGGTTTGCACCGTCTCTGGTTCTAGTTCTAAGGGTACCACTGTCCCTATGGTTCTAGTTCTAATGGTTCCACCGTCTCTCTGGTTCTAAGGGTTCCACAGTCTCTCTGGTTCTAGTTCTAAGGGTTCTATCGACTCTTTGGTTCTAAGAGTTCCATTGTCTCTCTAGTTCAAAGGGTTGCACCGTCTCTCTGGTTCTAGTTCTAAGGGTTGCACCGTCTCTCTGGTTCTAAGAGTTCCATTGTCTCTCTAGTTCTAAGGGTTGCACCGTCTCTCTGGTTCTAGTTCTAAGGGTTCCACCGTCGCTATTGTTCTATTTCTAATGCTTCCACCATCTCTCTGGTTCTAAAGGTTGCACCGTCTCTCTCTGGTTCTAAGGGTTCCACTGTCTCTTTGGTTCTAGTTCTAAGGGTTCCATTGACTCTCTGGTTCTAAGAGTTCCATTGTCTCTCTAGTTCTAAGGGTTGCACCGTCTCTCTGGTTCTAAGGGTTGCACCGTCTCTCTGGTTCTAAGGGTTCCACCGTCTCTCTAGTTCTAAGGGTTGCACCGTCTCTCTGGTTCTAAGGGTTGCACCGTCTCTCTGGTTCTAAGGGTTGCACCGTCTCTCTAGTTCTAAGGGTTGCACCGTCTCTCTGGTTCTAAGGGTTGCACCGTCTCTCTGGTTCTAAGGGTTGCACCGTCTCTCTGGTTCTAAGGGTTCCACCGTCTCTCTAGTTCTAAGGGTTGCACCGTCTCTCTGGTTCTAAGGGTTGCACCGTCTCTCTGGTTCTAAGGGTTCCACCGTCTCTCTGGTTCTAAGAGTTCCATTGTCTCTCTAGTTCTAAGGGTTGCACCGTCTCTCTGGTTCTAAGGGTTGCACCGTCTCTCTGGTTCTAAGGGTTGCACCGTCTCTCTGGTTCTAAGGGTTGCACCGTCTCTCTGGTTCTAAGGGTTCCACCGTCTCTCTAGTTCTAAGGGTTGCACCGTCTCTCTGGTTCTAAGGGTTGCACCGTCTCTCTGGTTCTAAGGGTTGCACCGGCTCTCTGGTTCTAAGGGTTGCACCGTCTCTCAGGTTCTAAGGGTTCCACCGTCTCTCTGGTTCTAAGTGTTGCACCGTCTCTCTGGTTCTAAGGGTTCCACCGTCTCTCTGGTTCTAAGGGTTGCACCGTCTCTCTGGTTCTAAGGGTTGCACCGTCTCTCTGGTTCTAAGGGTTCCACCGTCTCTCTGGTTCTAAGGGTTCCACCGTCTCTCTGGTTCTAAGGGTTCCACCATCACTCACTGCGGAGGAACTCACCGGAGCAGTTTGGCATGTAGCACTTGACCCGGATCTCTCCTTCCACGTCAGCCTTCATCAGAACCCCCTGTGGGTCGGAACACAAACAGCTCTGATGGGCCCATTCAGGACAGTGGACCCGACCCAGAACATTCTGACTGGACTCACGTTTGATCCAATGACTACGGACATCCTCTCGATCACGTCCACAAAGATCTCGCTCTTCCCCCCCTGGAGAACGACAAAGGAACCGCCTCATCAACAGAACCTGGGAGTTCAGCTCAGGAGGACACAGTCCAGATGGACCTGGTTCAGAACCGGTGAGGGTGAAGCTTACCTGCTCTCTGCTAGACTGGATGGGTCTGGTGGCAGCAGAACCTGGAGCAACTTTGCTCTGCTGAGTTTCTGCTCCAAACTGTAACAGAGAAGAATCGTGAGCAGTCCAGAACCAGACTGTTGGACCATTTTTGAATTGATTCTCCTGAGCTGTTTGGTTCAGGAACAAATCAAATCTGTGCTGGTTCTGGATCTGGTTCTACTGTACCAGCCCCACGTTGCTGAGGTCAAACAGGCTGAAGGTTTTGGAGGAAACAGCCTCTGTCTGGATGAAGTTCTTCAGGATGTCGGAGGACGTGGTCTGGATGTATCCGTGGTCCTGCAGCAGAGACAGATGGTAATAAATGTTGCTCTCTGAGAACCCAGAACATCGTGAGGGACGGACTCACCAGAACCTCGTCCAGCAGCTCGTAGATCAGAGCGTAGTTCATCTGGACGGCCTTCTCTGAGATGCCGCCGCAGAAATCTTTGACCAGAGCAGCGAGTCTGAAACGGGACACATGTTGGCTCAACATCTGGACTCAGATGGTTCGCTGAGACCAAACCTACCGATTGAGGAACTCGATGATGGTGAATGGGGAGGAGTCCGCTGTCGTCGTGGCAACCCAGTAGAGTCCTCCTTGCTTGACGTGGACAAAGTGCAAATCCTTGTGGTTCTGGAGAGAAACACCGGGTTAGGATGAGGGATGGGAATGTCCCATCCAGATGGTAGGGGTGTTACCATGACAACCGGAGGCTGGTCTCCCTTCAGCGCTGTGACCTTCTCATAGAAGATATCGATGACATCACTTCCTGCCTCTCCACGATCTAAGAGTCGCCTCACAGTCAAGTTTTAAAACATAGAGCTGAATTCTGATTGGCTGATAGAGACATAGAATAGAGCACAATAGAATGGAAAAGAGTAAAATAGAATACAATCATATAGAATAAAATAGAACACATCAACATAGACTACAAAACAAAACAGAATAGAACAGAATGAAATAGAATAAAATGGAATATAATCATATAGGATGAAATAGAAGAGTTCACCTTAAAATAGAAAAAGACAATAGAATAGAACAGAATGAAAAAGGACAAAATATAATGGAAAACAATAGATTACAATAGAAAGCAAAATAAAACAGAATAAAATAAATTAGAGATCACAGTTCCTGTCCTTTAGCAGAGAACCTGGGTTCTTTAAGCAGAAAAAGCTAATTGGTTGAAACTCGACTAGAAAATGAAAGTAAAAAAGCCCATCTTTACTGGTGCCTACTGGTTTCTAGTAGAACCTACTGGTCTTTACTGGGATCAGAAGGATACAGTCTTTGTAGATGAGGTGGTCGCCTCTGGAGGACAGGATGAAGAGCTGAGAGATCACCATCATCCCTCTGAGACAAACACAAACTTGAACCTGCTTAGATCACGGAGAGGGAACCTGCTTAGAACACAGAGAGGGAACCTGCTTAGAACACGGAGAGGGAACCTGCTTAGAACACAGAGAGGGAACCTGCTTAGAACACGGAGAGGGAACCTGCTTAGATCACGGAGAGGGAACCTGCTTAGAACACAAAGAGGGAACCTGCTTAGATCACGGAGAGGGAACCTGCTTAGAACACAGAGAGGGAACCTGCTTAGAACACGGAGAGGGAACCTGCTTAGATCACGGAGAGGGAACCTGCTTAGAACACAAAGAGGGAACCTGCTTAGAACACATAGGGAACCTGCTTAGAACACGGAGAGGGAACCTGCTTAGAACATGGAGAGGGAACCTGCTTAGAACACGGAGAGGGAACCTGCTTAGATCACGGAGAGGGAACCTGCTTAGAACACAGAGAGGGAACCTGCTTAGAACACGGAGAGGGAACCTGCTTAGAACACGGAGAGGGAACCTGCTTAGAACACGGAGAGGGAACCTGCTTAGAACACGGAGAGGGAACCTGCTTAGATCACGGAGAGGGAACCTGCTTAGATCACGGAGAGGGAACCTGCTTAGAACACAAAGAGGGAACCTGCTTAGAACACATAGGGAACCTGCTTAGAACACGGAGAGGGAACCTGCTTAGAACACGGAGAGGGAACCTGCTTAGAACATGGAGAGGGAACCTGCTTAGAACACGGAGAGGGAACCTGCTTAGATCACGGAGAGGGAACCTGCTTAGAACACGGAGAGGGAACCTGCTTAGAACACGGAGAGGGAACCTGCTTAGAACATGGAGAGGGAACCTGCTTAGAACACGGAGAGGGAACCTGCTTAGATCACGGAGAGGGAACCTGCTTAGATCACGGAGAGGGAACCTTCTTAGAACACGGAGAGGGAACCTGCTTAGATCACGGAGAGGGAACCTGCTTAGATCACGGAGAGGGAACCTGCTTAGAACACAGAGAGGGAACCTGCTTAGAACACGGAGAGGGAACCTGCTTAGATCACGGAGAGGGAACCTGCTTAGATCACGGAGAGGGAACCTGCTTAGAACACGGAGAGGGAACCTGCTTAGAACACGGAGAGGGAACCTGCTTAGATCACGGAGAGGGAACCTGCTTAGAACACGGAGAGGGAACCTGCTTAGAACACAAAGAGGGAACCTGCTTAGAACACATAGGGAACCTGCTTAGAACACGGAGAGGGAACCTGCTTAGAACATGGAGAGGGAACCTGCTTAGAACACGGAGAGGGAACCTGCTTAGATCACGGAGAGGGAACCTGCTTAGATCACGGAGAGGGAACCTGCTTAGAACACGGAGAGGGAACCTGCTTAGAACACGGAGAGGGAACCTGCTTAGAACACGGAGAGGGAACCTGCTTAGATCACGGAGAGGGAACCTGCTTAGATCACGGAGAGGGAACCTGCTTAGAACACGGAGAGGGAACCTGCTTAGATCACGGAGAGGGAACCTGCTTAGATCACGGAGAGGGAACCTGCTTAGAACACAGAGAGGGAACCTGCTTAGAACACGGAGAGGGAACCTGCTTAGATCACGGAGAGGGAACCTGCTTAGATCACGGAGAGGGAACCTGCTTAGAACACGGAGAGGGAACCTGCTTAGAACACGGAGAGGGAACCTGCTTAGATCACGGAGAGGGAACCTGCTTAGAACACGGAGAGGGAACCTGCTTAGAACACGGAGAGGGAACCTGCTTAGAACACGGAGAGGGAACCTGCTTAGAACACAAAGAGGGAACCTGCTTAGAACACAAAGAGGGAACCTGCTTAGAACACATAGGGAACCTGCTTAGAACACGGAGAGGGAACCTGCTTAGAACACGGAGAGGGAACCTGCTTAGAACACGGAGAGGGAACCTGCTTAGATCACGGAGAGGGAACCTGCTTAGAACACGGAGAGGGAACCTGCTTAGAACACAAAGAGGGAACCTGCTTAGAACACATAGGGAACCTGCTTAGAACACGGAGAGGGAACCTGCTTAGAACACGGAGAGGGAACCTGCTTAGAACACGGAGAGGGAACCTGCTTAGAACACAGAGAGGGAACCTGCTTAGAACACAGAGAGGGAAACTGCTTAGAACACGGAGAGGGAACCTGCTTAGAACACAGAGAGGGAACCTGCTTAGAACACAGAGAGGGAACCTGCTTAGAACACATAGGGAACCTGCTTAGAACACAGAGAGGGAACCTGCTTAGAACACGGAGAGGGAACCTGCTTAGAACACGGAGAGGGAACCTGCTTAGAACACAGAGAGGGAACCTGCTTAGATCACGGAGAGGGAACCTGCTTAGAACACGGAGAGGGAACCTGCTTAGAACATGGAGAGGGAACCTGCTTAGAACACGGAGAGGGAACCTGCTTAGATCACGGAGAGGGAACCTGCTTAGATCACGGAGAGGGAACCTGCTTAGAACACGGAGAGGGAACCTGCTTAGATCACGGAGAGGGAACCTGCTTAGAACACAGAGAGGGAACCTGCTTAGAACACGGAGAGGGAACCTGCTTAGATCACGGAGAGGGAACCTGCTTAGATCACGGAGAGGGAACCTGCTTAGAACACGGAGAGGGAACCTGCTTAGAACACGGAGAGGGAACCTGCTTAGATCACGGAGAGGGAACCTGCTTAGAACACGGAGAGGGAACCTGCTTAGAACACGGAGAGGGAACCTGCTTAGAACACGGAGAGGGAACCTGCTTAGAACACAAAGAGGGAACCTGCTTAGAACACAAAGAGGGAACCTGCTTAGAACACATAGGGAACCTGCTTAGAACACGGAGAGGGAACCTGCTTAGAACACGGAGAGGGAACCTGCTTAGAACACGGAGAGGGAACCTGCTTAGATCACGGAGAGGGAACCTGCTTAGAACACGGAGAGGGAACCTGCTTAGAACACAAAGAGGGAACCTGCTTAGAACACATAGGGAACCTGCTTAGAACACGGAGAGGGAACCTGCTTAGAACACGGAGAGGGAACCTGCTTAGAACACAGAGAGGGAACCTGCTTAGAACACAGAGAGGGAACCTGCTTAGAACACATAGGGAACCTGCTTAGAACACGGAGAGGGAACCTGCTTAGATCACGGAGAGGGAAACTGCTTAGAACACGGAGAGGGAACCTGCTTAGAACACAGAGAGGGAACCTGCTTAGAACACAGAGAGGGAACCTGCTTAGAACACATAGGGAACCTGCTTAGAACACAGAGAGGGAACCTGCTTAGAACACGGAGAGGGAACCTGCTTAGAACACGGAGAGGGAACCTGCTTAGAACACAGAGAGGGAACCTGCTTAGAACACGGAGAGGGAACCTGCTTAGAACACAGAGAGGGATCCTGCTTAGAACACAGAGAGGGAACCTGCTTAGAACACAGAGAGGGAACCTGCTTAGAACACAGAGAGGGAACCTGCTTAGATCACGAAGAGGGAACCTGCTTAGAACACGAAGAGGGAACCTGCTTAGATCACGAAGAGGGAACCTGCTTAGATCACGAAGAGGGAACCTGCTTAGATCACAGAGAGGGAACCTGCTTAGAACATAGAGAGGGAACCTGCTTAGAACACAGAGAGGGAACCTGCTTAGAACACGGAGAAGGAACCTGCTTAGATCACGGAGAGGGAACCTGCTTAGAACACGGAGAGCGAACCTGCTTAGAACACGGAGAGGGAACCTGCTTAGAACATGGAGAGGGAACCTGCTTAGAACACGGAGAGGGAACCTGCTTAGAACACGGAGAGGAAACCTGCTTAGATCACGGAGAGGGAACCTGCTTAGGACACGAAGAGGGAACCTGCTTAGAACACGGAGAGGGAACCTGCTTAGAGCGCAGAGGGAATCTTCTTAGAACACGGAGAGGGAACCTGCTTAGAACACGGAGAGGGATCCTGCTTAGAGCGCAGAGGGAATCTTCTTAGAACACGGAGAGGGAACCTGCTTAGAACACGGAGAGGGAACCTGCTTAGAACACGGAGAGGGAACCTGCTTAGATCACGGAGAGGGAACCTGCTTAGATCACGGAGAGGGAACCTGCTTAGAGCGCAGAGGGAATCTTCTTAGAACACGGAGAGGGAACCTGCTTAGATCACGGAGAGGGAACCTGCTTAGAACACGGAGAGGGAACCTGCTTAGAACACGGAGAGGGAACCTGCTTAGAACACGGAGAGGGAATCTTCTTAGAACACGGAGAGGGAACCTGCTTAGAACACGGAGAGGGAACCTGCTTAGAACACGGAGAGGGAACCTGCTTAAAACACGGAGAGGGAACCTGCTTAGAGCGCAGAGGGAATCTTCTTAGAACACGGAGAGGGAACCTGCTTAGAACACGGAGAGGGAACCTGCTTAGAACACGGAGAGGGAACCTGCTTAGAACACGGAGAGGGAACCTGCTTAAAACACGGAGAGGGAACCTGCTTAGAACACGGAGAGGGAACCTGCTTAGAACACGGAGAGGGAACCTGCTTAGAACACAGAGAGGGAACCTGCTTAGATCACGGAGAGGGAACCTGCTTAAAACACGGAGAGGGAACCTGCTTAGAACACGGAGAGGGAACCTGCTTAGAACACGGAGAGGGAACCTGCTTAGAACACGGAGAGGGAACCTGCTTAAAACACGGAGAGGGAACCTGCTTAGATCACGGAGAGGGAACCTGCTTAGATCACGGAGAGGGAACCTGCTTAGATCACGGAGAGGGAACCTGCTTAGAACACAAAGAGGGAACCTGCTTAGATCACGGAGAGGGAACCTGCTTAAAACACGGAGAGGGAACCTGCTTAGATCACGGAGAGGGAACCTGCTTAAAACACGGAGAGGGAACCTGCTTAGATCACGGAGAGGGAACCTGCTTAGAACACGGAGAGGGAACCTGCTTAGAACACGGAGAGGGAACCTGCTTAGATCACGGAGAGGGAACCTGCTTAGAACACGGAGAGGGAACCTGCTTAGAACACGGAGAGGGAACCTGCTTAGAACACGGAGAGGGAATCTTCTTAGAACACGGAGAGGGAACCTGCTTAAAACACGGAGAGGGAACCTGCTTAGATCACGGAGAGGGAACCTGCTTAGAACACGGAGAGGGAACCTGCTTAGAACACGGAGAGGGAACCTGCTTAGAACACGGAGAGGGAATCTTCTTAGAACACGGAGAGGGAACCTGCTTAGAACACGGAGAGGGAACCTGCTTAGAACACGGAGAGGGAACCTGCTTAAAACACGGAGAGGGAACCTGCTTAGAGCGCAGAGGGAATCTTCTTAGAACACGGAGAGGGAACCTGCTTAGAACACGGAGAGGGAACCTGCTTAAAACACGGAGAGGGAACCTGCTTAGAACACGGAGAGGGAACCTGCTTAAAACACGGAGAGGGAACCTGCTTAGAACACGGAGAGGGAACCTGCTTAGAACACGGAGAGGGAACCTGCTTAGAACACAGAGAGGGAACCTGCTTAGATCACGGAGAGGGAACCTGCTTAAAACACGGAGAGGGAACCTGCTTAAAACACGGAGAGGGAACCTGCTTAGAACACGGAGAGGGAACCTGCTTAGAACACGGAGAGGGAACCTGCTTAGAACACGGAGAGGGAACCTGCTTAGATCACGGAGAGGGAACCTGCTTAGATCACGGAGAGGGAACCTGCTTAGATCACGGAGAGGGAACCTGCTTAGATCACGGAGAGGGAACCTGCTTAGATCACGGAGAGGGAACCTGCTTAGAACACAAAGAGGGAACCTGCTTAGATCACGGAGAGGGAACCTGCTTAAAACACGGAGAGGGAACCTGCTTAGATCACGGAGAGGGAACCTGCTTAAAACACGGAGAGGGAACCTGCTTAGAACACGGAGAGGGAACCTGCTTAGATCACGGAGAGGGAACCTGCTTAGATCACGGAGAGGGAACCTGCTTAGAACACAAAGAGGGAACCTGCTTAGATCACGGAGAGGGAACCTGCTTAAAACACGGAGAGGGAACCTGCTTAGATCACGGAGAGGGAACCTGCTTAAAACACGGAGAGGGAACCTGCTTAGATCACGGAGAGGGAACCTGCTTAAAACACTGAGAGGGAACCTGCTTAGATCACGGAGAGGGAACCTGCTTAAAACACGGAGAGGGAACCTGCTTAGATCACGGAGAGGGAACCTGCTTAAAACACGGAGAGGGAACCTGCTTAGATCACGGAGAGGGAACCTGCTTAAAACACGGAGAGGGAACCTGCTTAGAACACGGAGAGGGAACCTGCTTAAAACACGGAGAGGGAACCTGCTTAGAACACGGAGAGGGAACCTGCTTAGAGCGCAGAGGGAATCTTCTTAGAACACAAAGAGGGGTTCTTTACAGCATTCTATTGATCGGGTGGAACCAGCAGGGCCAGTCTGGTCCTACAGCCACCAGGAGGAACCAAACAGAGAAATCTGGGAACAGAACTGCTTTCTTTAAGCCAGCTGACCAGCAGTGTGTTGACACCTGAGGGGAACGGATGTGAACCTCAGGAACCTCTTCTTCTTTAAGAACCTTGATGATCCGGTACCATTCTGGACCCCAGGATCTAATTAAACCTGTTTCCTCTGGAGAGGTTACCCAGCTCCAGCCATCCTTCAGAGGGAAGCTTTACTGGGTCTAATGATTCTGACCCGGATCTGTTCTGAGATGGACTGGACCCAAACAGACGGGTTACAGACACAGAACCAGGTCTGTGGCCCATCACAGGAAGACAGAACCGGGTCAGAACTGATCAGAGAAAACATTAACACCGGGTCCACAGAGTCAGACGGATCTTAAACAGAACCAGAGTGAAACCAGCACCAGGAAGCAGAGATCAGTTTACATCCCCGAATCAGAAAGGATTTACTCACTGCTGAAGGCGGAACCGAACCGGACAGTTCGGTTGAAGCCCGTTTTATGTGTCCATAAATGCGACAGTTGAAGAGCAGCTTATCGGAGCTGAATTATGTTAAAGTTTGATTATTCTTTTTTTTCTCCATCTGGTATTAAACAGATCAGCGTCGATCTAAACACAGTGCCGAAAAATTTAAATGTGATAATATAAAAAAATGTAAACGTTTATGGGCAGAACTGAGACTTTCACCGGGTGATCGCTTAGCAGCTAGCCCCACAGCGCCCCCTAAAGGCGGGGGGTAGAGCTGCTCATTTTGTCAGGTTTATTATCTTGGGAAAAACAACAAAAATACATAAATAATTATATTATTTTAAATACTTTATTTCCTCATGTTCTGAGCTCTCCGATAATTAACAGTGGATGTCTTTTAATAACCAAATAGTGATGTTTAAACCAAACGCTAGGTGGCAGCAGAGGGGAGCGTTCAACCGGAAGTCGTCTATGTCAACACGGTGAACCGTTTCCTCCTCACGACGCTTCTCCTCCGATGCTTTAAATCATGAAGTAAGTAATTTTTTCTCCTTTTGCTCGGGCTGGTTCTGCCAGTAGTGGACTGATGGATTTATCATGTCTGGTTCGCGTTTGGTACCGGTACCGACCTACTCCTGTGCTCGTTACTGAAAGCAGCCACCTCCCCCCGGATTTCATTCAGAATTTAACAAATTTAAATACATTTTTTTATTAACAGGTTTATAAATCGGATTAAATCCAAAATCAAATTATCTATTGATGTAGTAACATGCTGCTCTTTAAATCGGCTTTCAAATTGAATCCAAAAGTTTGATATTTTTGTTTGGGTTCGCTCTCCTCTTAAAGTTTAGGGTGTTCCTGTCTAAAAGGATGAAACTTTATTTAGTTTGGTTGTTTAGAAAAGATTCATGTTTGTTTAAAACAACGAGCTGCTGTTCTGTTGTGATTGGACTGCAGGGGCGTCTCTAGGACCAAAACCTCCAGGGCAGCTGGGTTCCTCTCTGGATCAAGATGGTCGCCATGTTCAGGAAGTTTTCAGACAATTCACCCAAAAAACATGAAAGACTATTTCTGATGATGACTAAATTCTCCAGATTAGGTGATGGCTGGGATTATATGACCACAGATTAGTTTCTGTGTGTGAGAATAACCTGATATCCTGCTTGTTGCAGTTCAGGAGCTATTTGGCCCCCTGAGTTCAGACAAACCAAAGCAGAGCAGCAAATTTAACACCATTTTTATAAAACATAAAGGCCGTTTCTCAATTCACTTGAACGTAAGTACAGACTCGTGTCCTCACCAAGTATGTTCTTGAGAAGAACACAGGAATGTCTGGACTCTGGGAGAATGGGAGCACGCAGCATAAATCTGGGTCAGTTGGAACAGAAGCGTACTGATGACATCACCACATGACCGGCTCGTCTATAGCTGCATTTCACCTCCTGTTATTAATAGTCTCTAGATAATAAGAAATGATTGCTTTTTTCATTTAGTGGTGGAATAATATTGAACACAGTCAGATAAACACAAATCAAATGAACATTTTTTCAAATAAAACAAAAAAATCGTCATCAGAGCCAGCGGGACTTCACACACGGTGCGGGTTGCTGCAGGCGGGCTAGGATTAGACATGGCTGCCGTTAGCTTTGGAGCTCCGCTGGTTGCCGGGGTCCTCTCAACTTTGGAATTTCTTTTTTTTAAATTATGCATTACATCAGTTAATGGGCCTTATAGTGAGGCTTAAAAGTATAATGTTCTCGTTTTAAATGATCCTAAAATGTAGTTATATGGAACAGCTGCAACAGAAAAGAGAACTTTTAACTTTCAATGGAGCGCTGCATTGAAAGCTGCTGCTGCCGCAGTGCATGCTGGGACAGCTGTCAATCTCAAGACTGGACAAGTCTGCTCTGATGCATGCTGGGTAAATAGAGAGGGGTTGAGAACAACATCCGGGGACTTTGTGTGTTCTCGGTCTGCTGTTCTTGTGAAGTGGAACAGCACTCGGGCTGAGGATGATGTTTCACGAGTACACTTATTGAGAAACGCTTAAAGTCCAATTTTTAGTAAATATCTGCTGCCATCGGTCTCTATTTTTAGGTGTGGAAAAATAAAATACCACATTTTCTCTCTACAGAATGTTGGTGTTTGTGGGAAATTATGTTAAAGCATCCATGGTTCTAAGTTAACAATCAGTTATCCTGTTCTGCCACAGACGTCTCTTACATCACGTTCAGAACTATGAGCCGGTGGGGGCCCTGCCTTTTGGCCCCACCTCTGATCGGTTCTGTGGGTCGGACTGTCCCCGTTCTCAGTTCTGCAGGCTCACTGTGATCTGTAGACAATCTGGGCCCCCATGAAGCCTCCAATGGGAACCAGAACAGGCCCTCAGATCAGAGGAAGACTAAAGGATGAAGAACAGCTGACAGAAACATCTGGATTTGTTCCAGAAATAAAATGCATCTTTGCTGATTTGTTCTAATTTCTTCCTAATTTAAATGAATTCTTTAGTGTCTGATCAAAGATTGCAGTTTAACCGGTGTTGGTTCTAAGATGAGCGTTCTGATCCGTGTGTCTTCAGTCCTCTGACCAAGGTGAAGCTGATCAACGAGCTGAACGAGCGGGAGGCCGACCTGGGCATCAACGAGGCCGTTTCATGGCACAGCGTGTACAAGGACAGCGCCTGGATCTTTGTTGGTTAGTCATGATCAGGCAGAGGCCCCGAGGGGCCAAAAGGCCCCAAGTGAATCAGGAACAAGATGAGAAGTTTTATCTGATCCAGAGTAAAATGTTTGCAGCTGAACTTCAAATTGAACTAATCTGAATGTCTGTGGACTTCCTGCAGGAGGCTTCCCCTACGAGCTGACCGAGGGAGACCTGATCTGCGTCTTCTCTCAGTAAGTCAGAGGATCCGTCTTCCAGCTGCTGTATCGTCTGATGTCGGCTGAAGGGCTGATTTATACTCTGAAACCAGGTCGTCTGCATGTGTGTCGCAGTGAATACAATTGTACCGCCCACAGGAGGCCTCTGATTGGTCAAATCTATATTCGCTCATATACGGATTTCCTGTTTGGTACCTTAGCGGCTTGTTTTGTTTGTATGACCGCCATTGTGGAAAATGACTCATGAAAATGGACCAGCTAGAAGAGCGAGGTGCGCGAAAACGCTGGGACTCTTTTTCCACCTGGATCCCCGCTCTTTTTCGCTCTCATGTCCCTCCATGTCGCACAAACTTGCCCCCAGTTCCTCACCGCCTCGGCCGTATCTAGACCCACAGCTAGTTCATGGTCGGCCATCTTGCGTTGTGGCGTGGAATAACAGCGTAGATCACGCTTCATTATTGGGGATAAATGAAAAATATCTGCGACAAGCTCACTGCAACACACTGGAATGGATAACCGGCCCTTAACGCTTTGATCCCATCAGGTACGGCGAGGTCGTCAACATCAACCTGGTGAGAGACAAGAAGACGGGCAAGTCCAAAGGCTTCTGCTTCATCTGCTACGAGGACCAGAGGAGCACCATCCTGGCTGTGGACAACTTCAACGGCATCAAGGTGAGAGGGCCAACGCTGCCCCCGCTGGCTGACCACTGGAACTGCATGGAGATGATGGAGCTGATGATGATGATGGTGCTGATGATGATGGTGCTGATCCATTTCCACTCTGCTTTCAGATCAAAGGTCGGACCATCCGCGTGGATCACGTCAAGGACTACCGTCCCCCCAAAGACCACGAGGACATCGACGATGTCACCAAACGCCTCAGAGAGGACGGCTGTGCCCCCAGAGATCCTCCCGCCGCCTCAGAGGAAGAGGAGCAGGACGCCATACCTGTGAAGAAGGCCAAGAAAGGTGAGGTCACTTCCTGCTGTCAACAAAGCACCTGATCCAGACCCATCCTCACCTCTTCCTCTGTCGTTTTCCACCCCAGATAAGAAGGAGAAGAAGAAGAAAAAGAAGGAGAAGAAGGAGAAGAAGAAAAAGCGGAGAGAGTCTTCTTCCTCGTCAGATTCGTCTCCTCGTCATCCGCCTGTCGCCGTCCAGGTCAAAGAGGAGAAGCAGGACTCCGCCTACGACAAGTACAACCAGCAGGGGGCGCAGAACGGACAGAGGACGGCGGAGAGAGGGAGAGGAAGGGACAGGGAGGAGGAGCAAGGCAGGAGGGACGGAAAGGACAGGGACAGAGAGACGGAGAGAGACCACAGAGACAGAAGACAAGACGATGACAGAGAGGACAGGAAGAAAGAGACGGGCAGAAGGAGAGACGGCGAGAAGAGAAAAGAGGACAGAGACGACAGATGGAGAGAGACGGATCGAGAGGACAGACGGAGGGAGAGGGAGCGGGACGATGGCAGAAGACGAGACAGAGACGACAGGAGACGAGACACGGAGCGGCGATGAAGGCTGGACTGTAGATGTTTCCTGTGATGTCACTTCCTCCACCGCCCGAGGTCTCAGCTGTCATAACACAGTGGCGCCTCCAGAGGGCGGTGGTGAGGCGCTGTAGAGAGAGAATGATTTTGATAATAAAGAGAATAAAAGATCCGGTTTGATTATTGATTCTAATGAGGAAGGTGGTTACCATGGTGATTCAGCCTTTGCCTGGCCAGCAGGGGGCGCTCCCAGCGAGAACCTGCAAATGTGCCTGTGTTTGCTGCAGGAGGGTAATCAGAACCTTCAGGTCCAGTTCCTCTGATTGGTCAAAGAAACGGAGAACAGGAACAGAGATTAAATCCAAAAAGTTCTGGATATTTCTCTGGATCAGAACCTGCTAGAAGGCAGTAAATGTCATACCCTTCCTCCACCTGTAGGGGGAGTAGAGACCCAGCCAATCTAATGCAGACCCTGGCAGCCGGGTTCTGGAGACACTGGGTCAGTGTTAGGGTGTTAAAAAAGATTAAGGATTTATTTAAGTTTTATTTTAAAATACAACAATTTAAAGTTTTCTATATATATATAAAAAAAGGGATGAGAAAAGCAAAAATAAAATATTTTAGTTCTATTTGAACAAGAAATGACTTTAAAACAGAAGCTTAAAAATCTTTTGTTCATTTCTGAGACCAGATGTCTTCATAAGAGCAGCAAACCTGAGAAGTTGTCATTTTATCGCAGAATAAAATGTGTGGAACCAAAATATGATTTTAATGACCTGTTGACCAATGAAACGACAGATATGTAGCATTAGGATGTGGGGAAGCAGGATGGAAATGAATGAAATCCTCTAAATCACTTCTCTCCATTCAGCCCTTCATGCATTTGCACACATTTCCTCACCACTGTGGTGAACTACTGTTAGGAAAGTTATGACCTTCAGTAATCTGTATAAGCGGGATAAAGGAGCAGGCTTTTTCACTAAGGCTGTAAACCTGTGGGGGATCCTAGGCAGTATTAACGATTATCACTCAAGTAGAAGTATAAATCCTACTGTTTAAAAACACTTTTGTAGAAGTTAGAGTATCAACTTAAGCTTTTTACTCAAGCAAAAGTGTGTATATAAAGTATAAAAGAAATGCGGGTAAAAATGTTAAGGACATGCTTTACTGCTTTAGCTTATTAAATTAACATTTTTCTACAATTCTTGATAACTTCCTTATACCTAAGTTTCTTAGTTTTATAACTAATGGCAGCAGTGACAAATTTAACTTGATCATCTTGAAAAAGGATTTATGTTGGTATGTAGACAAAAAAATCAGACAACTTTCATTGTAATTTTGTATACAGGTCCTCAAAATATTAGCATATTGTGATAAATTTCATTATTTTCCATAATGTAATGATAAAACTTAAAGCATTCATATATTTTAGATTCATTGCACACTAACTGAAATATTTCAGGTCTTTTATTGTCTTAATACGGATGATTTTGGCATACAGCTCATGAAAACCCAACATTCCTATCTCACAAAATTAGAATATTTCGTCTGACCAATAAAAGAAAAGTGTTCTTAATACAAAAAGTTTGAGAAGGACCTCTACACAAAAAACGTTTAGTAGTTTTCCAGACAGTAAATGAACATTCCCATTCCACAGAGTGAAGCAGTGATCAAATGTAAACAGTGTGGGAGAAAAAACATGGTGCAAAAAAAAAAAAAAAAAAACCTGCATTCATTATTAATATATATGGTGCAAATATGGTTTGGTGTTTTCAGTGTGATTCGGTCTGTGACATGATTTAGAGTTTTTTTCAACAGTTCTGCAGTCTGATGGCAGCGTGGAAAAGCCGTTGCAGAATCTGCTGGCCTGCATCCAAAAGGGCAGCAGGGAGAACAGTCCATGGTGGGGGTGTGAGGGGTCATTGATGATGTTACGGGCTTGGGACACACAGCGCTGGGATGAAATGTCTTTAATGGAGGGAAGAGGAGCTCAGATGATCCTCTCTGGTGTTCTCACCACTCTTCTCACCTTCTTCCAGTCTGAGGCGCTGCAGCCTCCACACCACACAGTGAGACAGCTGGTCAGAACGCTCTCTATGGTGCTTCTGTAGAAGGTGGTGAGGATGGGTGGGGACAAGTTGGCTCTCCTCATCCTCTGCAGAAAGTACAAGCGCTTCTGTGCCTTTTTGACCACTGAGGTGGTGTTTACATTCCAGGTGAGGGTGTCTGTGATGTTCACCCCCAGGAATTTGGTGCTGCTGACCACCTCTACAGCTGAGCTGTTGATGAGCAGTGGAGCGTGGTTAGGATGGTTCTTCTTGAAGTTAGAGTATCATGGATGAAACAACTGATGATGGTTTTGTTTTTTATTATCAACCGGCGAAAATGGGCTTCAATTAAAAAAAAACAACAAACAACTAATGAGCTTATTTTTAAGGAGTAGAAAGTAGAGAGTTCTAAGGTAAGGTAACGAAGTAGTAGTGCTTTGTTACTTGACAAATCTGTAACTGGGGACAGGCACCTCTATAGTCACTGATTTACATGATAAAAGGGGTGAAATTTTTAGTTATGAAGAATTTCTTAAATCCAAAATCTTTCCTATTACCTATAAGGAATTTCAAATGGTGAGAAAAGCTATTCCTGGTGGTATTCTCCAATTACTTAAAGGCCATTTTGAAAGGCAAGAGGCAGAGAAAGTGGACCCCACCCTCTTTATGGTGTAAACTTTATAAATCATCAATGTAATAATAAACATATAAGGAACTTTTTTTTTAGGAAAAGGGAAATTACTCTGAGAGGGAAATTTGTATGGTCCTCTTCTTTCTCTGATATTAACTGGAAAATAACATTGCTCCTTCCACACACATTTGCTATTTCTAAAAAAATAAAAGAAATCCAATATAAAGTTATACATAACATTTACCCTACTAACGCTTTTTTTTTTAGCAATATTTGTCAATATTGATGTCAACTGTGTATTCTGTTATACTGAGGAGGAAACAATTAAGCACCTATTTTTTAATGTAAATTTTCACAGATATTCTGAAAAGAAGTTGAGGTTTACATCATATCACACTCCAACACACCAATTAAATTACAAGCCAAAGATATCATCTTATACTATACTAATAATGATGCAATTCTTGGTTAACTTGATTATGCTAATTGCAAAATTCCACATACACAAAACCAAATTTTCCAGAGGTCGATCTTTCTTCCCAGTGTTTGAAAATGATTCAAAAAATTACTTCAATTGTATCCAAAGAATCAACAATAAAAGATGTATACACACTGTTAACGTAATTAAGGAAATATTTGGAGAAATTTAATATATCTTGCCATTTTTGTTTTTTTTGTTTTGTTTAAATCTGTTCCGTTATTTATTTAAGTTAAAGTATGTTATATCTTAATTTTATTAAACATTTATTTTGAGATACTCTTCTATATCTTGTGTTTTTTTATTTTTTGCTTTTTTTGTCAATGTTTTGTAATTTTCAACTTTTCAATAAAGTTTTGAATATTAAAAAAAAAGAACAGCTCAGCAATAGTGATAAATTTTTAAGGCGTCATGAGGCGTTTCAGGCCATTTGCAAACTATTGATACAGTCACTGAATGCTGCCACCTGCTGGACATTAAAAATCACTACAGGCAGCCTTTTTGACAGAATAAGCCACTGATCTCTATTTATTCACTGGATTGCTGATTGCAAAAAGGTGACGCCACCATCCGCCATGCTGGTCAAAATTGCTACATGTGTAGCATTTGGCTGCAGAAACAAGAAGTTTACCAGCTGTGGGAAGAGGTTCCACAGGTAGTTTCAAAGGTAGTGGATGAACTAACCAAGAAAAGTCTGGCTATTTCAGAGATTGACTGAGTTAGCAAATTGACATTGTGTCTAGTTAGAAAATAGAAAGTAGAGTAAATAGAAAGTAATTCACTCTGAAATATCAATGTAGTAATTTTTTATTAAGTGGATGGCACAGTTCCTGTAGTGTTTGTTGTATTTCTCATTTGAAAAATCTATGTGCGAAAATATATTGCATGTTATATTGATGAAAAAAAAAACAACTCAAACGATTGACCATATATATATATATATATATATATATATATATATATATATATATATATATATATATTATTAATGTGTCATGTGTAATAAGTTGATGTATTTTACATGAACATATTCAATTTAGCACTTCAGGCACATCTGTATTATTATGCTCCATTAACACATTAATTTTATTGTGGTGAATTTGTATAATATGTCATATTAGATGATTTAGAGACTTCATTGCCCTCATAATATGTAATGTGATGTGCCTATTTTTTTAAATAAGTAGTAATCTACTTATGCAATGAAACAGCAAGTCTGTGTCAAAGTGATGAATTTATCGTTGTTTGATGTTGTAGCGCACGCATTGTTTATTTACATTGTCACCGGTAACCAGCCAAAATGGCAGCCGGTGGCTTCACTTCAACCCCGTACTACCAACGGGCGATGAGATGCTTTCTTAAAGATTTTGGTTTAAGGGATGAACCAGATTTAAAACCAGTTTAATCAAATACTTGATTTTATTAGTTAGTAAACCACCATAAAGCCAAATAGGAACAGTTTCTTTAATTGGATCGACTTCAAAAATCCAAGACAAAAACTAAATCTGGTAAAGCTAAAACCGGAAAGGACTGCTCTGATTGGCTTGAGGAAATTTTGGACCCCTTCTGATTCTCCCGCCTTTTTATTCTAGGCAGTTGTCGACCATAAAAACTGCTCATCGATGTAAAAAAGGAAACCAGACAAAGCAATTCTCCAACTAACTGCTTTTATTATCAGCATGTAAGTAAAAAACTTCATTTAACATTTCAAAGATTTACAGCCATTTGAAAGCAGGAAGTTGGCGTGCTAATGATGCTATGCTAGCCTCAAGAGGAAGCTATAAAAGGAAGGGAAAATCTTGACATTTTCTCTTTTTTCACATAACTTTATGTTAATAAAAGCTTTACATATTATAAGCCTGAACTTAGAACTGCAAGTTTAAAATCTCTGTTGATTTGAATCCTTTGTAAAATGTCCTGAGCTACGGCTGGGCTCCGTTTCCCCTGCAGCTGTGAGCACTGCTCTGGTTGTGAGGTTTCATCGAAGCTGAAGGAGGTCTGAGAGGTTTGGTCAGAGGTATCTTCCCGAATACAACTGAAAAACAAAAGTTTGTGCTTTTATCCGAAATGCTTTATTATCCTGTAAAAAGGTCCCATCATTTCATTTGAGCAGTAAGGGTCGCGTTCCACCTGCTCTTAGTGAAACTCAGCAGCACAGAAAGAGGTCGGCAGTAGAAAATTAAGGCTCCTATGGCTGAACAGATTATTCCTCCTATCAGTCAGCAGTTAATGAGAAAAAAGGGCAAACGCTGCTGGAACTGAACCAGCAACCTTCCTGTCCATTAAGCAAAGGGTTATCTGGATTTACCTGGAAGCCAGAAACTGAGCCGAGGGTTTGTTAGTAAACATGATAGACCCCTCAGAACCATTTTATTTCACAGATGTTGTTTTATAGACCTAGATGAGCAACAGTTCAGATGCTAAAGCTCTCCTATCAGATCATCCATCGGATCAACAGTCAGTGGTTCAGGTTCCACAGCCACAGAAATCATCCTCATGTGAGAATCATCAGTCACTTCAGTCTAGATGATCCCTCAACTGGAACAAACCAACGCCACTGTGTAGGTTCCACTCAACTGGACAGAACCAACGCCACTGTTTGGGGTCCTCTCACCTGGACAGAAACAACGCCACCCTGTGGGGTCCCCTCACCTGGACAGAAACAATGCCACTGTATGAGTTCCCCTCAAGTGGACAGAACCAACGCCACTGTGTGGGGTCCCCTCACCTGGACAGAACCAACGCCACTGTGTGGGGTCCTTTCATCTGGGCAGAACCAAAGCCATGGTGTGGGTTCCCCTTGAGTCAGACTGAACTAATGCTGTGGTGTAGGTTCCCTCTACCGGACCAACGCTGTCACTGTGTTTCTGCATAAATGTTGAGTTTTTCTTCTGTTGTTCCTTTTAAGCCGCTCTGCTAAAATTAAGATGTTCGTTGTGGAAGACGTCCTGAGATCTTCCACCTCGGTCAGAGTTCCTGAAGGTTATCATTTGGACTTTGGCAGCTTTTCAGGAGCTTCAGATGTTTTTCTTTTTAAGCCAATTTAAATGGAAAGCATTAGTTCGTTTAGGGATTGAATGCTGGCTGATTTTATAACCATGGTCAGAGGAGTCGCCCCCTGCTGGCCAATAGAGGGACTGGAACTGGTTCAGTTCAGCATGAAGCCTGATGGCAAACATGGAGGAACACAGACTCTGAAGGTCGCTCTGAAGCGCCTCCATCGCCTTGGAGATTCAGGTTGGTTGGTTGAGATGTTCAGGAGGTTATTGAAATGTGACTGAATCCAGTCAGATGTTTGGATCAACAAGGTTCTGTCACCTATAAAGAACCAAACCCTTGAGAAACGGATTATTGAGATTAAGTTCAGCCCTTTTTATATCAAAATGTTACATGTGAGAACAAGTTCTGGTTCTGGTGACGTGTCCAAACTAAAGTCCATGGAAAGATGTTTTCTTCATTCTTAAACAGCTAAATCTCAGAAGGTTCTATCAGCTGGACTGGTTTGCCATCAGACTGAACCGTTGACGTCAGCTTATGACATCCTGACTTCTCGTTTCGGAACCGGTTCCGTCTCCTTCAGCCCAAATGGGTTTCAGAATGAAGAGCTGGAGGAAAAGTATTCAGATATTCAACAGGACCATCAGAACCAGCAACGGCCTCTTCAACAGGAGAGCTGGATAACTTTAACATCATCGTTTTCTGGACAAGTCAGCATATAAATCAGTAGACAAACCGGTTCAGAACCATGACACGTGGGTTATAATGGACCCTTATGTTGCAGTTTTAGTGTCTGCAGATCCATCTGAGGCTGTCAGAGATCTGCTGGAGGTCCAGGTCACCCAGATTCCTCAGATGAACAGAGTTCTGAAGACGCAGTGAAGCTTCCAGGAAGTGTGAAGAAGCGCCACAGGAACCCGTCCTGCAAAGAATCCGCTCTGCTCAGCAGAACCCTTCCTCCCCTCAGAGAGGTTACAGTCCTCCTCCCGAGCGCCGCCACGAGCCAGACGGTCCGATTGGGCTCAGACCTGCTCAGGGCCCAGCTCTTCCACCACCGCTCTCAGCACATGGAGATGGTGACGTTGATGCCCAGGTTCCCGTTGTCGGCGAACAGGTGAGCGATGGAGGTGTCGAACACCAGGCAGTCGCTGTTGACGATGGCGGCTGCCACCCCGTCGTGGATGGAGCGGGGTGTGGCCTCCCAGGTGAGGCGACGCCGGTTCCCGTTCAGCTCCAGGCGGTAGGCGAAGTTCTCAGCCTGCTTCCTGGTGCCGATGAGCAGCACCACGGCGAAGAACTGCTGGTGACCCTCGTACTTCTCCTGCTTCTCCAGAACCAGCATGAAGTGATGGCTGAAGCACGACTGCATCATGACCCAGTCCACGGCGCCAGGCAGGTTGATGTCCGTCGCTAGGAACACGATGTCCTCCCCCTGCAGGCAGCCAGAGGTTAGAACAAGTTCCAGACTGGATCATATGTTGGTTCTGATCCATGTGTGTGTGTTGGTTCTGACCTGCAGCGTGGTAATTGACTTGTGAGCGTGCATCAGGTGGGGCATGACGGCCTCCAGCGGTCCGGCCCACTTGCAGGTGGCCCCCGGACAGGGACAGGTGTAGGGCCTGAACTCGCACACCTCCTCATGCTCTGGTTTCTCACTGTGGTGCAGAGACAGCAGGCAGCCGGCGGAGGAGTACTGCAGGGGAAAGAACACGGTTACAGAACCAGAACCTGGACCGGCCCAAAAACACCTCCTCCTCCAGACCAGAACCACCTCCACATGAAGCTCTGCTCCCTCATGGAGGCGGAGCCTGAGGAGCAGTAGGCAGCTGCTTTATCACTCATTATTCTGCCAAAATTTAGTTCCACATTAATGAAGAGCACCGTTTCCATGGAAACGCTCCTGATCATTAAACCAGCTGAGGAATAAAAGATGATGAACAGCAGGGGGCAGCAAAGCTGCAGAAGCAAAGGAACCAGAAAAACTATTCTAAACTTTGGAAGCAGGAGGTGGGCTCCAAGATGGAGGTCCTGGTCCGGTTCTGTCCCAGCAGAACCTCAGGCCTTCCAGCTGAGAACAGCTGCTCCTTCAGACGCTTAAAATAACACTGGTGAAGATTCTCAGTCATCAAGGTCATAGTCATTCCAAAAACGTTAAAAAAAAACTAACGACTGGACTTTTTTTTTTTTTTCCAAATTTGAAGATGTTTCACTTCCCAATCAGGAAGCTTATTCAAGTTTGACATTTTGAATTGAAAAAGCTTCCTGGATGGGAAGAGAAACGTCTTCAAACTTGGAAACAAAGTCCTGTAGTTTGTTTTTCAACTTTTTTGGAATACTTTTAAAACTTTGGGTCTCCAGGTTCTCTCCGGGTTCTGCTGCAGTAAAATGGGTCAGGACTGCAGGTCCGACCCGTTTGACCACAATCCATGTTCTGGATGTGGACGGTCCAGATGTGTGACCCAAAACTGCTGACTCAGCTTCTGGAGAAGATGTCCTGGTTCTGGTGGTTCTACCAGCTGGTGACATTCTGCTCTGCATCTTCTGATGTTTCTCTGAGGAAATAGACCTCCTCAGAACATCTGGACCTATAGAGTCTAGTGGCTCTTCAGGTTCTGACTTGGTTTCTGTCAAGCCTCTGATCCAATATAGAAAAGACCTATCAGAGAAAAGACCTGACGGACCAGAACCGGGTCTAGATGCGGTTCTGTTTAGTTGGTCTGTGGCTGAGGAGCATTTGGACCATCTGAGGGTCCATCGTTCCCCATTAAGATAACTGGGTTAAGCTGGTGAAGAAGTCACAGTAGAAGAAGTCCAGCGGTCCTCATGATGATGAGCAGTTGTCTCTGAGCCCTACGAGCCCAGTCTGATAAACTAGATCTATAGAAGGAGCCAGTAGAACCTCCCACTCCTGGCTGTGCCAGGGACAGAACCTGATCTGGACCCTAAACCGATTCTTTAGGCCGAGACTAGCATTCCAGGTCTGTGTTCTTTAACTTTAACACACTTAAATACCCAACATAGCTAGCACGGCTAGCAGCAAACAATTCATCATAGATCTACAAGCAGACAGAACAAACAATGAATGTCGGTCCATTGGTCGGTAGGTAGCAACTAACACAGAGATGTAGAATCTGATTATACCAACCCGATGACAGGAAGTCACACAGACCAAGAACAAGGAAAGGTTAAAGTCAAGGTGCGACCTCTGTTGGCCAACCCAGGAACATCATCAGGACCACTGAGGTCCAAAACCTGGTTAGAAGACATTGACAGTCAGTTTCTATAAGGATGTTTGTTAGCTAAAGAGCTAGCCAACAGAGTGCAGCACCCTAGGCTCACTATGGAGCGCCATCAGAGATCCTAACTCCCAGCATCGGTCAGACTTTAGAACCATCACTGGAACCAGTGGAACCACCGCTCAGACTCTCCAAATGTTCCGCATCCCTGCTGGTATTTGTAGCTCTTTCACTCTTCATAAAGTCTCTTACTGTTTTTCATGAATAAATAATCTGCAGTTTCTCTATATCAAACTAGATCAAAAGAAGGTTTGGTCGTTTCTTCTAAAATTTAAACTGTTTTTCTCTTTACGCTTTGATTTTATCCACCAAGTTCTACTAGACTATACTGCACTATTAAATAACCAGAGCAGAAGATCCAAACCAGGTAAAAATCTGATGGACCCCCGATTGGCAGATTCAGTCCATTGATGTCGTCTGCAGGATTATGATGAGATGATGTCATGAAGCCCAGAGGAGAAGTTGAGTAGGAGCTTCTGGCTCTCGGTAAACAGACCAGTCTGCTGCTGGTTCTCCTGGTTTCTAACCACAGCCTTGCAAACAGAGGAAGGATTCCTCCGGTTTCATTTCAAACCAAAGCGACATAAAGGCAGCAAGAACCCAGGAATCAGATAGAAGGAATCTGGAAGCTGGAAACATGCAGTGAGGAGGTTTAGAACCTCCATCCTGACGGAGCAGCCATCCCAATCAAAGAGAAAACCGATAGCAGCTCTAAAACACAGACAGATGAGGTCAGAGAATGGATCTCTGGTTGGTTCTGAGCAGCAAGCAGCAGACAGAAAACCAAGGAGCAGGTTAGGAGTCAGGTTTCAGCCGCAGAAGAACCCGACACCTGAGGAGTGTCTGAGGAGATCAGATCAACAGGAAGCAGCAGAGATCAAAGGCAGTCAGGCTAAAAGGCCGAATGGTTAATAGCTGGCTAATGTGGTGGCTGCTGGGGAACTGGCCTGATGCTGGTTAACGGGCTGGACACTGGCTGAAGGGCCGGAGGCTAGGAAACGGGGTGGACGCTGGGAAAGGGGTGGCTGCTGGGAAACGCTGCGGACGCTGGGAAAGGGGTGGCTGCTGGGAAATGGAGCGGACGCTGGGAAATGGAGCGGACGCTGGGAAAGGGGTGGCTGCTGGGAAATGGAGCGGACGCTGGGAAATGGGGCGGACGCTGGGAAACGCGGCGGACGCTGGGAAACGGGGGGGGGAGGCTGGGAAATGGAGTGGCTGCTGGATAAAGGGGCGGCAGCTGGGTAACCGCACCTAATTGGAAATGGGGCGGACGCTGGGAAATGGGGCAGACGCTGGGTAACGGCGCGGACGCTGGGTAACGGGGAGGACGCTGGGTAACGGGGTGGACGCTGGGTAACGGGGTGGATGATGGGTAACGGGGAGGATGCTGGGTAACGGGGTGGATGATGGGTAACGGGGAGGATGATGGGTAACGGGGAGGATGCTGGGTAACGGGGTGGATGATGGGTAACGGGGAGGATGCTGGGTAACGGGGTGGATGATGGGTAACGGGGAGGATGATGGGTAACGGGGAGGATGCTGGGTAACGGGGTGGATGATGGGTAACGGGGAGGATGCTGGGTAACGGGGTGGATGATGGGTAACGGGGAGGATGCTGGGTAACGGGGAGGATGCTGGGTAACGGGGAGGATGCTGGATAACGGGGAGGATGCTGGGTAACGGGGTGGATGATGGGTAACGGGGAGGATGCTGGGTAACGGGGTGGATGATGGGTAACGGGGAGGATAATGGATAACGGGGAGGATGCTGGGTAACGGGGAGGATGCTGGATAACGGGGAGGATGCTGGGTAACTGGGAGGATGCTGGGTAACGGGGAGGATGCTGGATAACGGGGAGGATGCTGGGTAACGGGGAGGATGCTGGGTAACTGGGAGGATGCTGGGTAACGGGGAGGATGCTGGATAACGGGGAGGATGCTGGGTAACGGGGAGGATGCTGGGTAACGGGGAGGATGCTGGGTAACGGGGAGGATGCTGGGTAACGGGGAGGATGCTGGGTAACTGGGAGGATGCTGGGTAACGGGGAGGATGCTGGATAACGGGGAGGATGCTGGGTAACGGGGAGGATGCTGGGTAACGGGGAGGATGCTGGATAACGGGACGGATGCTGGATAACGGGGAGGATACTGGGTAACTGGTTTAGCTCTCAGTTTTCAGGACTTTCAAGCAATCAGTGGCATTGATAATCTTTGTGTTTATGGACCGTTTCTGTCCCGATCGGCGCTGGATGGACCGGGTCCATGCTGGCGGAGCCAGCCCAGCAGGAAAGGCAGGCAGGGTGTGGGGAAGAACATGGAGACTCGATAGAGCTGCAACGACGAGCCGACCAGCTGATTATTACAGAACCAACAGCAGCTGCGATGTTCTAACTGCCACAGAAAAGAAGAGAACTGGGTTCTGGAAGAAGAAATTTCTTTTCCTAAAGCCTCCAAGCAGGACAGGAAGAACCAGATCAGATCCCCACCAGGTACTAATCTCCCAGTAAATGGACCAGAACTCAGGTCTTGTCCTCTCTGACATGATGAGACCACATCCTCTGCTGCTGCAGAACCAGCCCCATCAGCAGCCCACCACCACCGTGCTTCAGAGAGGGATAATGTCCAATTTGTTCTAGATGTCTCAGACCGGGATCCAGAGACCCACCAAACCTGATTTAAAACATTTATAAATTACTGCATTTTGTCTGACGACAGTGTCTAACTTCACTTGCGCCGCTTCTCCTGTTAATATGGTAAAGCGGTCCAGAGCGTCCAGCACCAGGCTGCATGCGACACTAATTAGCCAATGAGCTGCTGTCAGTCTGGGTTGCTGCTGCTGCTGCTTTTAGAAACAGCAGGCAAAGCTGTGGCAAGCCGGGCGATGGGAAAGAAGGAGAAGATGATGAGAAAAAGAGAGCAGAGAAAGTGTGGACTGCTGGGTGAACTGGTGAAAGAAAGTGAAATGATGCTCAAAGATGACCCTGAACATTTAGAGGATGTTTGGCTCAACCTGCTGCTGTGAAGCAGGATTCTCCACCATGAACAGCATCAGAAATAAATATGGACCCAGGCTCAGAATGAGCTCATTGATATGTGCTTTAGAATGACTTAGTCTCCATTAAACCCAGGTTTAAAGCCTTGCAGGGCAGCAGAAAGCCCACTGCCAACATTAAGACATGAAAAAGAAAAAAAACAACTGTCAGTTCAGGTGTTTTATAAAATATGTGAATCCTGGTTCTGATGGAAGTTCTGGTCAGGAAAAGATCCAGATGAGACTCACAGAACCACATGAGGAAATATATGGTCCATCATCAGACATTCTGACCCAGTGGAGCCTTCAGGTCTGATCCACTTCCTGCTGGGAGCAGAACCGTGGCCCGGATGCTTCCAGAACCCTGAGCTGCTCCCAGGTTCTCCTTCTCTGGTGATACTTCTGAACCCAAACAGTTTGGATCAGAACCTTCTGGGCTCAGCTTTCAGTTGAGTCCATTTCACCTTTAAGGAGTCTGGAACAGAACCAGAACCTGCTGATTGGGTCAAACTGGACCAGTATAACTTCATCTGCAGCTTCGGGTCAGAACCAAACAGGAAGGACCCAGGGAGCTGGAGTTCTGGCCCCTGGGGACCCGCCAGAACCAGAAACCCAGATGAGTCCTGATAGCATCATGTTCCGAGGAAGGAGAACATCATCTTCATCACCTGAGCAACGAACAGGTGCAAGTTCTGGATCAGAACCGGACGGATCCAAACTACAGCTTTGTTTTGGATCAGACGGAATCCCCATGACGTCACCTGAAACGAGCGCATGTACGAGGAAGTCGCGTGCGAAGTGAGCGGTGTTTCCGTGGCGGACCGGTTCTGGTCGCGGTCCCGGTTCTGGTTCCTACCTTGCAGGGGAAGGGCAGCGTGGAGGCCACCCTCTCCATGGCCAGGTTCCGGATGCTGGGGCTCAGCGGGCCGCGGCAGGTCGGGCAGCAGCTCAGCTTCTGGCGGCACTGGTTGCAGACCAGGTGACCCGCCTGGCACTGCAGGATGGGCGGCAGCACGTAGTCGAAGCACACCGGGCACTCGAACAGAGCCGTCAGCTCCGGGGCCGGTCCGGGAACCCCGGCGGACGGGGGCAGGGAGCCGGCGGGGGACGGAGCCACCGAACCTGACCCGGTGACGGTAGCCTGGACACCGGCGGCCCCGTGCTTCCCCCCGCCTGCCTTACCGGCCCCCAGCCCCCCTCCTCCGGCTGAGGACGGGCGGCTCATGGCTGTCTGCTGAGGTCCGGTCCAGTCAGCGGCCCAGCAGGCGGTACAATCATTTACTGTTTACAACCCGGACGTCCCTCCGGGCCGCAGAGATCCAACATGGCGGCCACTAGTTTGTATTCGTTTGCGTCCCTGACCGCGGGCTCCCATTGGCTGGTTCAGGTTGGAGTGACAGGTTGTCAGCCAATCAGAGAGGAGGGGCGAACCATTACATAATGTTCCAAAGTGAAACAACAAACAGAAAAACTTCATTAATCTAATGAAATGGTTGGTTTCTCATGAAACATCTGAGCTAAAAAACAATAAATTAACACATTTAACGGAAACTTTAGCTCAATAATGAAAAAAAATGCTGATTATTTTCCATTTTTTATGATTCATATAAACTTCATTGATTCCAAAGAAAGTGAAATGTTGCTGTAAGTCAGATTAGTCAGATGTTTCTAAAGAGCTGGTTTAGATACTGAAGAATGAGGGAGATCTCCTGCAGAAGGGGGCATCTCTGACCTCAGTGTGATCATCTGGGTGGTCCTTCATGGTGAGAAGAACAATTCTGTCCACATGCTCAATACACCATAAGCATGTCCATGTTATGGTGTCAAAAGTTAAAAACATGACATAGAAAGGGAGGGGGGGGGATTTACCATTATGCCATACTAGGCTGTTGCCTAGGGCCCCAAGTTCCTGGCGGGCTCCACAAAACTCTGTTTACATGTATCGTTAATAAAACTATTCCTTATTATTATAATTATGTTTTTGATAAAAATCCTTTGGCTAAAATGCCATCAGAACGCTTATAATAATAAGTGTGTCTCAGCCCCCCTTCAGTGTCCACCACATTGGTACATGATACAAATGAAAAATGGATAACAGATAAGCACATCAAGGCTTGTCTACAAAAGAAGGACTGTGTTATTTACCTCAAAGAGAGGAAAGCAACAAGAAATGGGATAAGAAGAGATGGATAAAACACAGAACAAAACTAAACATCTATTTGCGTTAACTGATGTTAACCCTCTGATAACTATGGTGTTTTCCTGTTGCCTGGTCTTGTTGATAGATGTAAACGCTCAGCTCTGGGAACTTTCTGGCCATGTTGTTTGGCCTCTGTGTTATTTACAGACACACAATAGGCTCATTAAATGGCACCGCCTCCCTGACAGACTTTATTAAATCTTGGTATTTCAATAAAATGGCCACTAGGGGCCCGGCTGTGAGATTCAGTTACAACCAAAGGTTCTCCTCTTTCCGCTAGAGTCAGTGAGATCCGAAAGTTCTCTTGGTTCTGTTAGAGTCTGCAAGACCAGAAGTTTATTCTTGTTCCAGTCAGTGAGACCCAACAGCTCTCCCAGTTCCATCAGTGTCAGTGAGACTCGAAAGTTCTCCCAACTCCATTAGAGTCAGTGGGACTAGAAAGTTCTCCTAGTTCTGCTAGAGTCAGGGAGACTCAAAAATTATCCTGGTTCTATTAGAGTCAGGGAGATCCGAAAGTTCCTCTGGTTCTGTTAGAGTCAGTGAGACCTGAATGTTCTACTGGCTCTATTAGAGTCAGTCAGACCCAAAAGTTCTTCTGGTTCCACAAGAGTAAATGAGACCCAAAGGTTCTCCTTGTTCTGTTAGAGTCAGTGAGACCTGGAAGTTCTCCTAGCTCCGTTAGAGTCAGTGAGACACAACAGCTCTCCCGGTTCCATCAGTGTCAGTGAGACCCAAAAGTTCTCCCCGGTTCCATCAGAGTCACGGAGACCAAAAGATGCTCCTGGCTCCACTGGAGTCATTGAGAGCCGAAAATTATCCTGGCTCTGTTAGCATCAGTGAGAACTGAATGTTCTCCTGACTCTATTACAGTCAGTGAGACCCAAAAGTCTCCTGGTTCTGTTAGAGTCAGTGAGACCCGGAAGGTCTCCTAGCTCCATTAGAGTCGGTGACACCTGAAAGTTCTCCTTGTTCTGTTAGAGTCAGTGAGACCCAAAAGTTCCTCTGGTTCTGTTAGAGTCAGTGAGACCTGAATGTTGTCCTTAATCCATTAAAGTAATTGAGACTCGAAAGTTCTTTCTGACTCCATTAGAGTCAGTGGAACTTGAAAGTTCTCCTGGTTCTGCTAGAGTCAGGGAGACCCGAAAATTATCCTGGCTCTGTTAGAGTCAGTGAGACCTGAAAGTTCTCCTAGTTCTATTAGAGTCAGTGAGACCTGTATGTTCTCCTGGCTCTATTAGAGTCAGGGAGACCCGAAAGTTCTCCTATTTCTGTTAGAGTCAGTGAGACCCAAAGGTTTGGTCCAAATGGGACTTACCTTTTTTCACTTGCTGTGAGTCAGTAGATATGACCCGAACCAGAGGTTCTGCTCAGTGGGCCTGTGTTAGGGATCCGTCCTGCAGAGTGAGCGCTCCTGTCTGCAGCTTCTATCTGTGACTGTTTGGAGTTTTCTCCTAACATGGTGTTCAGCCATCGGAGCACTAAGTGCCCGTCATACCTCCAAACCGCTGCAGAGAAGCTCACACCTCCATCAGCACCAGCCCCTCCCCCTCAGCCTCTCTCCACCGCTCAGGTTGGATTGTGCTGCCAGAACCTCCGCTTGCTCATCGGGTCAGTAACAGGATGGGGCTCCGCTGCAGAACCTCAGTCGTCCTGCTACTTCTTCTGTTACCAGGTAAGATTGGTACAGGATTTTCCAAAAACAGTTTGATTTGAACTATAGCCTGACCAGAACCATCTGTAAATTCTTCAAACCTCTGGATCTCAGCTGGTTCTTCTTCAGATTCTATCATGTTGATTTGATGAATGTGTTGTTGTAGGGGTGGAGTGGGGGGGTGACTGATATGCAGAGCTTTTCTGTTCTATTCACTTCTGCTGCAGTTTTTCAGTAAGAATGTAACAGAACCAACCAGAACCGCTTCATAATAGGAAATAATTGGATCAGGTTCTGACCTAAATCCTAAAGTTCGGACTACAAACAGAACTTTTGCAGAATTTGTGGCTGAGCAAACATCTACCTGGTTCTGTTACCTAACCTCCATCTTCTGAAACATCAGAGCAGATGACTGCCATCAGATAAACTGAAGGCAGTTGATTTCCTGTCTGGTTCTGGTTCTGATGGATCACTCCTTCTCTTCTGGACCTGGATTTTTCACATAGCAGAGCTTCCTGATTTCAGTGTGACCTTCACGGCGGGTTTGAAGCAGAAGGTGTCCATCAGGATGTGACCGATAGTATGGTTCTGGCTCAGTCCAGATTTGGACCTTTTGGGCCACTGTGCGACTGGTTCGTTTCATAGACCAACTGTGGGACCAGAGCAGCAAACATTAAACATTGAAAACAGTAATGATTGAAGAGGCTTTCATCGGATCTCAGTCTGGACTCCAAATAATTAAGCTTTCAGTCTTTTTCTGAGCAGAGTGAACCAAAGCCCGGTTCTGTACGGGAACTGGACCCAAGAGCAATAAACTGTAATTTGTACATGGAGAATGAGAGTCAGAACTTCTGTGAGTGATTAATGACAGATGCAGGACGACAGGAGGAGGCATTATGGGTAAAATGGACAAGGGTCCCAGCCAGTGGCAGACTTAGGGGCCGCAGGTAAAGTTCAGTCAGGGGCCTCAGCCTCCGTATCCCAGTCGGCCCTGAGTGACAGATTAGGAGGGGCTGCCAGTGTTCAGAGCAATACTGTTAACCGTGTTGTTCCTCATTAATAACAGACATACCTGTTGGTTTGGAGGGAGCTGACATTTCCAGGACTCTCTATCTTTATTTTAGTTTTTGCTTATCAGTGTTAATATTTCAGTTATTAAGAACTGTTTACATAAAATCATATTAATGTTTTAATACTGACAGCAGCCATGATGATCTAAAGAACCTTTGGATGTGTTTCTTTATTCTAAGGGTAAATCGCTATCTTTGTTCGGGGTTGATCCATTTCTTTCTGTTTCTGTTCCAAAGTCAAACCAGGCTCCATCTCTGCTCTGAAATCAGACGTGTTCTCCTGCTGCAGTTATTTTGTTCTTATTGTTTTTATTTCTCCTGTGGACGAGGCAGGTCGACATCCCTGGCCTGAACAGCTGATCTGCTCCTTAAAGATCAGACAGGCTGCTAGTTTATCCCTGCGTGTCGTAGCCAGGGGCGGATTTAGGAAATTTGGGGCCCTAGGCAAAGACAGACAGGGAGCCCACTGAATTGAGAAGACAACACATAAAACAGACCCATTATACAGATAAACATTTTAATGAATACACATACATTTGTTCTGTTTTGTCCATCTCTTCTTGTCCCTTTTTCTTATTGTTTTACTCTCTATGTTTTGTATTCAGCTGGTTTTTTATGCCATCTCAAAAGGAATGCAGGATTTTTTCCAAGCACTAAACTCACTTAGCCGATTGCTGCTTCCTGTGCTTCCAAAAACTTGACGGCAAAAGTAAATAACTGAGTCCTTCCTTTTACTAGACAAGCAATGATCTGCTTATCTGTTCTCCATTTCTCGTTTGAATGAAATAATAGCTGCATGAATCGTGATAACAGACAAGATAGAGGAGAGCAAGAGGCGGGGTTACCAATCTACTTGCTCTGGAGAGCAGAGTTCGGTTTTATGTTTTCGCCAAAGTCTCCAGTAGCAGAAAAAAGTTGATAGATTTGGCTCTAGGCGCTTTTTTTGCATGAAGCATTCTGATGGCTTTTTAGCTAAAGTATTTTTTACCGTACCATACCACACCAACTTTATTTATGAAGCACTTTATGCACCGGACCAAAGTGCTGTACACAATCATAAAATACAATAAGATTATAAAATAGGAAAAAAAAAACGAGTGTAAAATACTTATTAGTATACAAACAGAATAAAACATAATTAATGTGCACAAGCAAGGAACAGTTGTATTAACCATACAGGTAAACAGAGCTTTATGGGGCTCCCAGGAACTTGGGGCCCTAGCCAACTGCCTAGTATTGCCTAATGGTAAATCCCCCCCTGGTCATAGCTCCAGTCCCAGTGCCGTATTGGCGCAACTACCATCTTGTTTTTCTTCCCATTCATTGTCAGGTTGTGGCGGAGCAGGTAGAGATTATATGAAAGCTGAGACACGAAGAGCTGGCAGCAACGAACATCAAGCTATGCACCGGTGTCATCAGACAAACAGACTACAGGAGCAAAGATTACAACATATTTCTACAACTCCTCATCTTCAGCTGTGTTTAGATGAGAGTTGGAGCCGTTCTGGTCCCCCTAGACCCAGGGACAATGAAGGACAGTGTCTCTAAGCCCCCTGAGGGAGAGTGTCTCACATCCACTGAGGGAAAGTGTCTCCAAGCCCCCTGAAGGACAGCATCTCCACATCTGCTGAGGGACAGTATCTTCAATGCCCCTGAGGGAGAGCATCTCCATGTCCTCTCAGGGACAGTAACTCCACACACCATGAGGGACAGAGAAAACACGCTCGCTGAGGGACAGCGTTTCCAGGTCTTATAAGAGACAGTGTCAACATGTCCCCTGAGGAACAGCATCTCTAAGCCCCCTGAGGAACAGTGTCTCCACATCCCATGAGGGCCCACCCATCATCTCAACAGAACCAGTCCAGTGTCCAACCCTGACTGGGTCTAACTTGTTGAATCTGTTTGGATGACAAGGATGAAAATCTTTGCTTTGTTTAATCTTAATATTTATGGGAAATGCAGGTAGTTTTTTTATGTTGTTCTCTTAACAAAACATCCTCTATAAACATGAGATATTTTATTGAATTTAGACAAAAAACAGCAGCTGGACAAGAGAAGCAAAGAGTGTCAGTCAGACCTTCTGGGTTCATTTCTGCACTTCTGTTTGGACAGCGTTGATCTGGCTTCTGTTTCTGTTCTTCAGGCCAGATAAAGCATCTCTAAACATTAATGAATATTTATAATTCCTGTGATAAAAATACATGTTTGACCAAATGATTTGCTTAACAACCAGATCTCGGCTACAAATGGAAAGACTCAAGACTTTTTTGTGACTCTAAGATGAGAACCTTGGCTCCGGGTTTGGGTTCAGTCCGTCGCAGCAGAACCGTTTCACTAGATCACCATATGAGGAAGAATCAGACTCTCCTGTTCATCAGTCATAAGGATCAGAACACTGAGAGCTGGGAGGAAACATGGATCCGGCCCGGTCCGGTCTGAGCAAAAGGTGCTGCTGCACACGATGTCCTCATCAACACCGGCCTGGAACAGATGTTCTCAGAAGATAACAGACTATGAAGAACATCTCTCCATCCATCATTAACTTAATAACTAATTAAGTAACAGAATAATTCTGGTCCAACACCTTCTTAGGGTTCTGGTTCAGCCCATCTGCAGGCAAACAGAGGAGGGAGGGGTCTGTCTGCAGCAGAGGAGCATCGACGCCGCTGCAGCTGTTGATGCAGAGATTAGAACCGGTTCTGAAACAGGACCAGAACAGAACCGGTGACTTAGAACAGTTCTATTGTTAAAAATGAATTAAAAACCTGTGTCTCAGCTAAGCTGCAGGTCTAAAATATACCCGAGCATCATTTACTAGGAAGCACCAACTTTGGACCAAAGCCGAGTCAGTCAGAACCTCTGTCCTCTGAAAGGTTCAGGCTGTTCTGCAGCTGAACCTTCAGCTCTTCATGGATTTCCTTCCTGATTAATGAACCCGCACCGTTTCCCTTCTTACTTATATGGTCACTGGGCTGCAGTGTTTTCTGAGGGAGACAGAACAGATCCAGCTGGTTCTGATTTATCACCTGCAGGGTTTCATGCAGCTCGGACCAGATTGGACTTTCTGTGGGAGGAACGTCAGCTGCAGCTTCAGTTTGTCCAACAGACTCGTTCTAAACTTTCACTCCACCATCTGTGTATAATATACATCAAATAAATCTGTTATGATTACAGAGCTTAATTACAGAGATGAATAATTGTTTCTAGTATCTTTATTTCAGACCTCTTTATATCACACTGCAAAAACAATGTAGAAAGAAGTAAAACATTCTTAAATTAAACGTATTTAGCCCTATTTTTAGATGATTTGCCAATGAAATTTGTATTTTTACTCTTTTAATAAGAAAATTAGATAATATGCTTTTGAAATAAGACAATACAATTACTTTTTCTTATTTTAAAATAGTTTAAATTGTCTGGTTCCATTGGGAAAGTGTTTCACTTACCTCCTAAATTCAAGAAAAAATGCCTTTATTTTAAGAAAAAATTACTTATTGAGTTTTCATTTTTTGCAGTGCAGACTGATGAAACAATTGAAACATTAAAAATTGAAACGTTTAATCTGAGTAAAGAATCTAATTAGAGCTGGAGTTTATTGAACCAGGGATTGGACTCCTCTCTTTAAAGGAATAGTACACCCAAAACATGATTAGCCTTCATTTTCTACTCACCTCCATGCTGAACAACACTCTGGAGTACTTTTTTGATATCTCAAATGCATCTGGAGATCTGGGAGGCCTCTTGCTGTCTGCTGACATTCAAATAATGGAGGTCTATGGTGACCGAGACAGAAAGGTCCATAAAAGTCCACAAAAAACGTGTCAATATTCCTCCATACTGCTCGTCCAATGTATTCCAAGTGTCCTGAGTTGGTAGGGTCCATAATTTACTCGAAACAAAGTCATTTAGAATGTTTTTAGAGCATAAACAGTAGTGTATAGGATTTCCTAAAAGCGCACGCCTGCGAGTTCACAAGCCTACGGAAACTGCAGCAGACCAAACCAGATGAAAGTGCGCATTCAGCGTCTGCTCTGCCGATAATGCAAGCGTAGAAGAAGAAATGTGCTGTTTACCTGTGCAAAGAAAGAAACAACGAAAGAAAAATGTCTGAGGACTTCAGTGTTGAGGAAGAGCATGAGTTCTTTGCCGAGCTGAATGCGCACTTTCATCTGGTTTGGTCTGCCGCGGCTTCTGTAGCGTCGTGAACGCACTTTTAGGAAATCCTATACTCTACTGTTTATGCTCTAAAAACATTCTAAATGACTTCGTTTCGAGTAAATTCTGGATGCTACCCACTTAGGACACTTGGAATACATTGGACGAGCAGTATGGAGGAATATTGACACGTTTTTTGTGGACTTTTATGGACCTTTCTGCCTCGGTCGCCATAGACCTCCATTATTTGAATGTCAGCAGACAGCAAGAAGCCTCCCAGATCTCCAGATGCATTTGAGATATCAAAAAAGTACTCCAGAGTGTTGTTCAGCATGGGGGTGAGTAGAAAATGAAGGCTAATCATGTTTTGGGTGTACTATTCCTTTAAGAATAACAGGCAAACCGAACAGAAGATTTTCTATGATTTAAACCAATCCTGTTTGGCCGCTTCCTAAATGTATTCATGATAAAGAACATCATAAAGGACTGATGTTGGAGTTTGAAGGACAAACACTCTCAGGTGCAGACATGTTTATGGATATTCCCCCCACTGAGAACCGGGTTCCAGAGCTTTAAGCAGAACCAGCGGTCTGCTCATCATGGACTGGACCGACGGGATTTAGAGGCCTTCTGAATCCGCCACTCTGAAGATGTTATGGAATGAGAGAGAGATCAGCAGGTTAATTGAGGAGGGAGATGAGCAGCAGCAGCAGCAGCAGCAGCAGCAGGATGTGCGGAGGATTAACTGGAAGAAACGGATCAGAAAAGGACAAAAGCTTTTAATCCGACGCTTCGTGTTTGAAGAAGTAAATATGGAAGAATCATTTAACCTCATCAGAAACGTTCCTCCAGAGATCGTCAGAGCTTCCTGTTGGGTTGATCCTGAGCTGCTGAGAAACTCTGACCTTAGTTGGGAGGGTGACCCTGTTGCTGGGGGCAACGCTGTTCTCTTGTTCTGCTGAAATTGATGGAGGAAAAGGAACCAATCAGATTATTGGAAAGGTTGTCATGACGATTAAATGATTGTTGAATCCTCAGCATCAACTATCTGAGGCTGATACAGCATCACCATGGTTCTGATCCAGTTATTGTTTTGGTCTAGTTTTTGTTCTGATCCAGTAATGGTTCTGTTTCCTCATCATGGTTTTGATCCAGTTATGGTTCTGATCCAGTAATGGTACTGTTTCCTCATCATGGTTCTGATCCAGTAATGGTTCTGTATCCTCATCATGGTTCTGATCCAGTAATGGTACTGTTTCCTCATCATGGTTCTGATCCAGTAATGGTTCTGTATCCTCATCATGGTTCTGATCCAGTAATGGTACTGTTTCCTCATCATGGTTCTGATCCAGTAATGGTTCTGTATCCTCATCATGGTTCTGATCCAGTAATGGTTTTGTTTCCTCATCATGGTTCTGATTCAGTTATGGTTCTGATCCAGTTACTGTTCTGATCCAGTTATGATTCTGATCCAGTAATGGTTCTGTATCCTCATCATGGTTCTGATCCAGTAATGGTTTTGTTTCCTCATCATGGTTCTGATTCAGTTATGGTTCTGATCCAGTTACTGTTCTGATCCAGTTATTGTTCTGATCCAGTTATGATTCTGATCCAGCAATGGTTCTGTTTCCTCATCATGGTTCTGATCCAGTTATTGTTTTGGTCCAGTTTTTGTTCTGATTCAGTAATGGTTCTGTTTCCTCATCATGGTTTTGATCCAGTTATGGTTCTGATCCAGTAATGGTACTGTTTCCTCATCATGGTTCTGATCCAGTAATGGTTCTGTATCCTCATCATGGTTCTGATCCAGTAATGGTACTGTTTCCTCATCATGGTTCTGATCCAGTAATGGTTCTGTATCCTCATCATGGTTCTGATCCAGTAATGGTACTGTTTCCTCATCATGGTTCTGATCCAGTAATGGTTCTGTATCCTCATCATGGTTCTGATCCAGTAATGGTACTGTTTCCTCATCATGGTTCTGATCCAGTAATGGTTCTGTATCCTCATCATGGTTCTGATCCAGTAATGGTTTTGTTTCCTCATCATGGTTCTGATCCAGTAATGGTACTGTTTCCTCATCATGGTTCTGATCCAGTAATGGTTCTGTATCCTCATCATGGTTCTGATCCAGTAATGGTACTGTTTCCTCATCATGGTTCTGATCCAGTAATGGTTCTGTATCCTCATCATGGTTCTGATCCAGTAATGGTACTGTTTCCTCATCATGGTTCTGATCCAGTAATGGTTCTGTATCCTCATCATGGTTCTGATCCAGTAATGGTACTGTTTCCTCATCATGGTTCTGATCCAGTAATGGTTCTGTATCCTCATCATGGTTCTGATCCAGTAATGGTTTTGTTTCCTCATCATGGTTCTGATTCAGTTATGGTTCTGATCCAGTTACTGTTCTGATCCAGTTATTGTTCTGATCCAGTTATGATTCTGATCCAGCAATGGTTCTGTTTCCTCATCATGGTTCTGATCCAGTAATGGTTTTGTTTCCTCATCATGGTTCTGATTCAGTTATGGTTCTGATCCAGTTACTGTTCTGATCCAGTTATTGTTCTGATCCAGTTATGATTCTGATCCAGCAATGGTTCTGTTTCCTCATCATGGTTCTGATCCAGTTATTGTTTTGGTCCAGTTTTTGTTCTGATTCAGTAATGGTTCTGTTTCCTCATCATGGTTCTGATTCAGTTATGGTTCTGATCCAGTTACTGTTCTGATCCAGTTATTGTTCTGATCCAGTTATGATTCTGATCCAGCAATGGTTCTGTTTCCTCATCATGGTTCTGATCCAGTTATTGTTTTGGTCCAGTTTTTGTTCTGATTCAGTAATGGTTCTGTTTCCTCACTGTGGTTCTGATGCAGTTATAGTTCTGTTTCGCCATCAAGGTTCTGATCCAGTTCTGGTTCTCTTTCCTCCGTGTTTGAGGTATTTCTGTTCCGTTTGTACAATGTTGTGGACTCCTTTGATTGGCTGCTGGAATAACGAGCTGTCAGGTGGAGCAGCTGGTGGAGGAAAACAGAGGAGCTGAAGGTAGATTAGTTCAAAGATCAATCGCAGTGGGACAGGGAGCTCTCTGCTCTCTACTTTCAGAACCAGAAGCTCTCCCAGCTCCACCAGAACCAGGGAGGAGATGGCAGGAACCCAACAGCAACAACCAGAAGATACAGATTCTGCTCATTTCCAGCTTCCTCTGTGGAGATTATTGGACTTTATTTAGAAAAATGTTCCTGAATCTTTTACATCCAATCTCCCACAACAATGATGATTATTATGATGGTGATGATAAGGATGATCTAATCTCATATTAACAATTAGATGATTCTCATAGCCTCTAATTGTTCAGGCGGTGGATCAGCCAATCGGCTCTCTCTGCAGAGCCATTTAACGGTTGTAACAAATCTCTGTACAGGCTCTTTACTTTCTAGACCTGGATTATTCATCTCTACTCTCTGTTTCATCCAGCTTCTCACTAAATGCCTCCTTTCTCCTCCCAATGTTTGTTCCTCTACAAGCTCTGAAGGCTTGAGAAGTTTTGGGAAGAACCTGATCTACTGAGGGGAAAATCTCATGTCTCTCTTATGGCTAGTTCTAGTTTTATTCATGCGATCTTAGAAGCTTAACACTGAGCTCTGAAAACAGATCAAAAGCCTAATTTTCACTACTGCAGAGCAGCGACAGAGACCTAAGGCTTGTTTTAGGTGGATAAAAACCAGATTGATCCACATCTGCTCTTTTCTTCTCAGGTTGCTTTTGTGCTCACGGCCGCTTTGCTCAGAAGCTTCTGAATGACCTTTTCTCCAACTACACCAATGCTCTGCGGCCGGTGGAGGACACGGACCACATCATCAACGTGACCCTGCAGATCACCCTGTCCCAGATCATCGACATGGTAACCAGACTTGCAGATGTCTGATTACGCTGTGGACTCTCAGGTCCTCATCTGTTTGGTCTTATCAGGATGAAAGGAACCAGATCCTCAGCACCTACCTGTGGGTCCGCCAGGTGTGGATGGACGCCTTCCTGATCTGGAGGAAGGAGGACTACGATGGCCTGGACGCCATCCGGATACCTAGCAGCTATGTCTGGAGGCCTGACATCGTCCTCTATAACAGGTACACAAAGCTTCCTGTCAGAGGTGCTCACTTCTTCTGCAGATTAAAAAATGTTTTCTCTTTCTGTTTTGCAGCGCAGACGATGAGTTCTCCAGCTCCATGGAGACCAACGTCGTCCTCCGTAATGATGGACAGGTGACATGGGACCAACCGGCCATCACCAAGAGTTCTTGCTCGGTAGATGTGGCCTTCTTCCCCTTCGATGTGCAACAGTGCCACCTGACCTTCGGCTCCTGGACTCATAATGGGAACCAGATGGACCTCTCCAATGCCTTGGACAGTGCTGATCTGGCTGATTTTGTCCCAAACGTAGAGTGGGAGGTAAGAGGTGACCTCAGCAGCTTGTCTTCTGTGGTTGGGTTTTCCTGATCCAAACTTCTCTCTGAGCAGGTTCTGGGAATGCCAGCCAAGAAGAATGTCATCCTGTACGGCTGCTGCTCAGACCCGTACCCAGACATCACCTTCACGCTCCACTTGAAGAGACGTGCCTCCTTCTACATCTTCAACCTCCTCATCCCCTGCATGATGATCTCCTTCCTGGCTCCACTGGGCTTCTACCTGCCGGCGGACTCTGGAGAGAAGGTTTCTCTGGGTGTGACGGTGCTGCTGGCGCTCACCGTGTTCCAGCTGCTGGTGGCTGAGAGCATGCCACCGTCTGAGAGCGTCCCACTCATCGGTCAGAACCTCCTGTCTCTTTCAGATAAACCATTTATTATTGGGTTGCCTTAGATCATCCCACTTTGGTCCTTGTTTGTTGGACACCTTTTAAAACTCTGCAGGCATAAAATAATGACATTTATGCGGAATGTCATCAGCATAAATAGGGTAAAAATAGTTTTTATTACCTAACCACCCCCGGAAGAAGAAACACAGGAGAACAGGAAATGTCCCGGTGCAGGGCCTTGGGGTACCCCACAGACCTTCACAATCACTGATATTACCTGCTAGTTGACCCAGAGGTTCAGTCCAGATGATTTCCAACTCAACTAAGTGGGACACGATGAGAGTGCAGAGCACTGATCTGTTTGTGTTTCAACAGGGAAGTACTACATCGCCACCATGACGATGGTCACTGCATCCACAGCGCTCACCATCTTCATCATGAACATCCACCACTGCGGCCCTGAGGCCCGCCCGGTCCCAAAATGGGCCGAGTGTCTAATCCTGAAGTTCCTTGCTAAAATCTGCTGCGTCAACGAGGTCGGAGAGAGCTGCCTTGGAAGTTCATCCAGGAAACAACCATTATCTCAGGAGGAGTCAGACGAGCAGGACTCAGGCGGCGGAAGAGGAGCAAATTGGGATGTTAATGGCCAAGCATGGGGAGGAAGGGTGGAGGAGGGTGAGACCAAGCAGACTGTCTGGAAGGAAGATCTGTTCGTCACCGTCGACCACTCTGACGAGAAGGAGGCCACTGGGAGGAGAGAGGAGGAAGAGGAGCACTCCCACATTGACCATGAGGGAAGAAGAGGAGCGTACGTTGAGGAGAAGAAAGGTGTTGGAGGTGCAGTTGAGGAGAACCGCAGGGAGATCTGGGTGAGAACCAAATGTGTGTGCCAACACCAGCGTCTGCTGAAGAACGTGGAGTACATCGCCATGTCGTACCAAGACCAGCGGACGGCGCAGGTCCGCATCTCAGAGTGGAGGAAGGTCGCCAAGGTGATGGATCGCTTCTTCATGTGGCTCTTCTTCATCATGTTCTTCCTCATGAGCATCGTGATCCTGGGAAAGGCCCTGTGATTAAGAACATCTGGACGCTCACGTTGCTCACGTTTTTGTTTGTTCTTCACAGCTTCACTAAACTGATGATGAAGCTACATCATCATCAACATTTTAAGCAGACATTTTTGGTCAGGTTCCTGAAGGCAAGGCTCGAATAAATATCCAGGAAGCAAACTGATCCCATGAGAGGTTTGGACACCAGGGTCCAATAAGGCTGGTTCTGTCTGGCTCTCCATCTTGTCTGGAGAAGAAATAGGTCTTTATGAATAGTAAAAAATAATCAGAATAAGTGAATCTTGACAAATGAAGTTTGAAATCATGAAATCATCTTCAGAAACAACAAACCAGATTCTTTTAGGTCTGTAAAGTAAAGCTCTGTGTTTACATCTTTAACCCTCTTTAGGGCAAGTTACCGTTTTAATCACTTGCATACCCTTTACAAATGGAGTCCCTATCCGTCAGAGAAGTCTACAAAGATATTTATATCCCATCATCCAGTAAAGATAATGCTACCTGGCTGTTAAACATGTTATTTCAGCGTTTTAACAATTAGATGACCTCATGAATTATATATTACCTACTATAAATTAAGTGAAAAAAGTTAACAAATTAAGAAAAAAAAAAATAAAAAGCCAATTGAAACCTTAAAAACAATAAACTAAGTTAAAAAGGTGAGATATTTAAGTGGTTTTATTGGCAATAATGCTCTAAGGCGGAGGTCTTCAACAGGGGGTCCGCGACTCCTAGGGGGTCCATGGAGGTACTGCATGGGGGTTGCTAAAATTCTGGTAGATTGGACTGCAATTTTTTCCACTAATTGAAATGTCTTTAAATCCACATTAACATGAACGTAAACACAGTGTAGTAAACTGATAAATGACACAGAAGATGTATTTCATTCATCAATGCACACATTCAGTGACACACAGGAGCTCTTTCAAGCTGGGCACCGTTTCATTCACAACACCTGTCCCATCAACCAGGAATCGGAATCAGAACATTACCCCATCTGGAATAGAGTGACTATAGGACCAGTTTGATATAACACAGTTTTATACAATATATATAAAATTAGGGGGTCCCCGCTCCATCTCACCATCAGTTTGGGGGTCCTTGGCCTGGAAATCCCCCTGCTCTAAGGCTATGTGTAGCAAATAAAAAAAAGTCTTCCACTCAGTGAATGCTTTTCATTAATTTCTTATAGAAGGACTTTTGTTATTTTTCCTAATATATCAGGGCAAATTGCCATTTCTTGTTATAACATTGAACTTCATTTTTACCATCAAAGTATACATATTTTTTTTTAATGTTACAAAAGTAATAAGGTCTTGTCCTGTCCTCCAATAACACTTGACCTGAAATTTAGATTCTCCAAGTATTTCACTTAGTGCCGTATAAAGAGTTAAGCTTTCTCTTCCCTGATTCTTTCCTGCAAAGACATCACTCTGAGCAAACACTTCAAAGAACACTTCATAATGTATATTAAATATCCATGAGACATGACAACAGATTTCACATAATTGCAATCTTACTCAGACCACAGAGGTTGCTCTGGGCTCGCTTCTTCAGAAAGCCACATCATTACAGCAAACACGTGTTTGTAAAATGAGGCATCACTTCCCCAAGCCACATCAAAATAATGCACCGTGTTCCAGATAAAGGGCTGGTTATCCTCCAGCAGCAGTGTGTCGCAGACAGCTTGTCACAGGTATTTTTGATTTATGCCCCATATTGAGGCGTGGTCTGTGCTATGTTATTAAGAGCAACTAGCTGTGGGTCTAGTTATGGCCGAGGCGGCGAAGAAGTGGGGGCAAGTTTGTGCGACAATGGAGGGACATGAGGGTGAAAAAGAGCGGGAATCAAGGTGGAAAAAGGGTCTCAGCGTTCTCACCTCGATCTTCTAGATGGTCCAACTTCACCTGTGGTTTTCCACAATGGCGGTCATACAAACAAAATAAGCCAGTAAGGTACCAAACAGGAAATACGCATAGTGTAGAGCGGATGTAGATTTGATCAATCAGATACCTCCTGTCTGCGGCACTGCCTGCGGTCACCTTCAAGTTTGGAAAGGGGCACCAGTGAGTCTTGTCTTGTGAGTATAAATTAAAGGCAGAGAGAGAGCTTGTTGTTAAGCATGATCCACTCTGTCTGTGGTCATCTTTTATTCCCAAATCTCTGTTATGTACATAATGAAGATGAGAACAGTTTATCCTGACAGAAGAACTGTTCTAATTAGATAAAATGCAGCTGCAGAGGCGCTGAGACTCTGAATGAGTCTGGGCTGTGAGAACATTTAGAACTTCCTGATGTGTTTGTGGTTTTCTCTTATCCAGCCATCAGTTTGAGACCATAGGATGGTTCCTCTCATCCCTACAAACCAGACATGACTCATTTTAATGAAACTAAAACAAATCATCAGTTCAAAGATTTTTTATTTCTGTTTTCCGGAGGGAAGCTTCTTAATTCCTAAAAACTGAGGATCCAGTGTTGGTTCTGATTCTTCACCTAATGTTTTTTCCACTTTATAAACCACAGCCTGCCGCATGAGTTCAGTGAATATAAAGGACATGTGATATTTGATTTACTATAATAAAGGATCTTTATAATAATTCTGTGTTGTTGAGTTTTTCTCTGAGACCCAAACAAAGGAACACTGAGTCCAACCCGAACGGTCCAGAACAGGAGGATATCTGGATGTCTGCAGCAACAGAGCAGGAATGGACCTGAAGCAGAACTGAACTGAGCTCCTGAAGCTCAGGCCTGGAGAAGAAGGTTAGCTATGAAGGTTATTTGTTTCAAAACTATTTGTGCATTGTAAGTGTGAATTTGAGAGAGAGAGTTACATTCTAAGTTTTATACGTGTAGAATAAAAAAAGAAATTCACAGGTGCACATTTTTTTTTTTTTTACACCTGATCAAATTTTAAGTACAAGTACACAATTCTTTCCTACAAGTTGCACATCAAAAACCTCTTACATTCTCAGAATGCAAAACTATTTGTGCATTAACTTTGGTGTTTTGTAGTTGTAGATTTTTTTAAAATCTGTCCCAGTTACAAAAAAAGTTAAACCTCTTCAAATTCTTGTGTACGAGTACACAAATTGTGTTCTGTGCAATGCACATAACAAATGTCTTCCGTTCAGTTTTGCTAGTTGATCTAAAACAAATGGTGCAAAACAAATTCAAACTTGTGTTAAAATCTTAAAAACACGAATGCAAATCAATGAATATAAATGCACAAATCTGCTGCTGTGACTTACAAATTCAACTTAACAAGTTAGGCCTTCATTTTCACTTTTGACACAAATGTCACACTGGTAAAAATGAGCTTTGACTTGTGGGTAGTACCCTTTATTTACACATACAAAACTTAGAATGTAACTCTCTATCTACAACTTCAAATTCACACTTACAATTCAATAGTTTTGAAAAAAATAAATTTTATAGTTAGCTTAAGCTGCTGCAGCTTCCCCTGATGGATGAGACATGAAGAACATGTATGCTTGCAAACCAAACACACCAGACTCTGAGCTGCTACAAGATCTTTATAACCAAATCCTTGCAGGACCTTTGTGTCTGATTGTTTAAATTTTAAACCTCAAGCTGTGCTTCCACTGAGTAAAATCCAGCAGCTTATCTGCTTCCTGTGACTCTGGCTGACCGTACTCCCTCATATTTACTAAGTAATGTAAAACCATCATTCAAACATCTAGGATCCAAACTCTTGTGGAGCTTAAGTCCGCAATCTCAGTCTTACACGCAGGTTTAAAAAGATGTAAAATAAGATTTTTATAAAAAGGATCAGAAAATGAATCCACAGAGGAGATGTTAAAATGGAAGTAATGTGCTACGGTGAGTTTAGAGCTGTATCGGATGGATACAACATCAAAACAAAGGGTGTGCCCGTAATCTAGTCTAGATGCAGTAAAAGCTGTGTTTCAAACAGCTGCTCTAAAAGAATCAGCTTTAACTCACTGCTTCAAACAAAGACAATCAGATCTAACAGCCTTAATGTGGCTTTTTAACATATTCTAACTCACAGATTAGAGCTGCAACCAAAAAAAAAAAAAAAATGCTGCTGTTTTTGGGCCTTAAACTCAATAACGTTCTGCTTATCCAGGCCTTCCTGCCATTAAGATGTTTAAACTGACTGATCTTTGGTGCTTTTTAGGTTTTGTTGCTGCAATGAATCAGAACCTTTCTGATTTCTCTTGAGGAGTCCCACAGGGTTCAGTTCTAGGCCCAGTTTGTTTCTCCCTGCATCCTCCACCCAGAATGCATGGATGTGATGAAATGAACAAGGCTCAGAGGTCCAGACCCGACATAAACCCAACACCAGAAGTCTTCTTTGTTCCGGACAGAAGTTTCCAACCGGAAAGGTTAATTTGTGAAGTAGAGGCCTTTACCTTTTCCTTTAAAACTTTTCAAATGTTTGGTTAATTGGGTTGGTTTTGATTACCCATAATGTTGACCTCTATACAAGAGGCTTGTGTTCATCCCTTAATAAATGAACATCCACAGGTCGACATCTGAACAGCTTTATCAGCCTAATGTTGCTGCTATAGAAGGTGGAGCAGCAGTGTGTCAGACTTTTGATTCCCTCTAACTGTGTCTGTCGGGGCTGCAGCTGTGAGATGAGCTCCAAGGCGTAACCTTCACAGGTTTTCCTACTGGGAATGGTTGGAAAACATCTTGGTTTTAAAGCAACCTTTAGTTTCTGCCATAGGCGTTTTTAGCCTATTTTGGCGGTTGCTGAAGCAACCCTAATTTGAATCAAATTACCTCTAAACTTTGAGTTGTTGTTTTAATACCGTATGCACTTTTTACAATAAAAAAAAAAAAGTGACATTTTTAAAACTATACAGTATTTGGTTATTTAACCCCTTCAATTATGTTCTGGTTCATCAGAAATAATAATAAACAAACATAATAACAAATAAACAGGCCTGATGGAGCTCCTTAACTAAAATGTTGACTAACGCTTTGAGGAAAAACTGCTGTTTTCGAAATATTAAGTCAAATGTCTACACCTGTTGATGGTGTGTTGGTGAAATGTTCACATGCGAGGTGCTCTAATGATTCTGAGACTGGTTTGTTTGATTATCTTTAAAACCACAACTTAATACTTACATTTACTGAATCAATAGTAAACCGTTATCATTCCTTTCTGTTTCTAGTTATTTGAATTTATAATCCATTTTATGATTGCCAGTCTAAAGAGGGAGAGGAGTAAAGGCGGAGCAGAGGAGCAAGGTGTGAAAGGTCAGGGAAAACCAGGTAAGAAAAACAGACAGAATGGCAGCAGGCCAAACAGCAGTTGTTAAACTGACATAGAAAAACATTTCATTGAGTAGATTATTTTACATATATCATGGAAGTAATTTTTGCACACAAAAGAGAAAAAATATTTAATGAAAACTGATTCAAAGGTTTCCATGAAATTTACAAGCTTTAATCGGTTGGAATATTCTTCTAAAAAATGCTGCTTTTTGCTTTGCTTGTTAGGTTTTTGGCACACGTCTCAGATACGATGCATTAGTGAATGATGGAGTCAGTCATTACCAAAACGCATTGAACAAGTTTTAAAAAATATGAGTAGAAAACAGTGAAATTAATTTTGTCTGGCCAGACAGCTTTCTGGGTGCTCAGCACCCCTAAGCCTCTGGTCCTATTATCGCCCCAGGTTTTTGCTATGGTTGTTTTTTCTGGTATTTAGATTTGTTTGAAAAATTTAAACCTCTGTGAGGCAATAAAGCATCAAATGGATCATATAGTATATTCCACTGAGTTCCATGAACCTCGGCCCCCTTCCAGATGTCCTTCTGAACTGCTCCGGGGTCTTTAATTCCAGTCCTGGACGTCTGCAACTTTAAGACGCTTCAGCACACCTGAATTAAATCTCTGATGACCTCCTCTGCATGTTGTCAAAGGGTTAGGGTTCAGATAAAAATCATCTAAAAGCCTCTAAAAGAAAAAGGAAAACCCAGGAAGCACCACAGAGACAAGTCACCCTGCTGCTCACCATCTTGGCCTAATTCTGATTCTCCAGGAACAGAACAGCAGTTCTTCCCTTAGGTTTAGGAGACCTAACCTAGCTACAGTACTACTGGATGGTTCAGAGTGGAACCTCTGTGTTGACTGACAGTCCATGATCAGTAGGCAGAAGGTCTCCCTGATCCCCTACAACTGTTACTGGAGCCTGCAGCTGAACAATAATGCATACTCAGCTTGCTGTGACCAAATGCTTGCCCGCATTTGTGTTTGTGGAGCATGACTTTGGTCTGGTCTGCTTCATGTTGAGTATGAAGCTACAGAATGTGTTATACTGCTCACCCGATAATGTCAGATCTTTAACTGCTGGACCCGGACCTGCAGAAACTGTTCTGAAGAGCTGCTCATGATTGGAGTCTCATAATATCTGAATTTAGAAAAATATTTCTTTGTCAATAAGCTTGTATTTTGTATTCGGTTTATGTTAATCAACTGACTATAAAAGTTTTATTTGAATCCTGCAAATTAACTATTTTAATTTTATGTTTTTATTTGAGGCCAGTTTTTAATATTTGA